CCTGCTTATAAGGTAAAAGTCTCCCAGTTGATGAGATACGCAAAAGCATGTTCTTCGTATGAGTAATTTCTTACGAGGCAAGCTATTGACTTAAACAAGTTGATGAAAAAAGAAGAAAAAATTCGTTGAAAGTCATGATATCGCAGGTTCTAATGTCGATAAAATCAACTTGTCAGCAAATACAATTTATCATTAAGTCGAATGCTAATTGACGTTTTTACACACTTAATTATCAACTTTTTTTTTCGTTTCTCTCGATCATGACAAGGTGCATACGGCGGGTGAGGCAATATACAAGGATGTTCAATATGTTGACATTTTTGATCAGATAAGACTTATGATATTAAAAAAGCAATAATCAAACTCACAAGTAAATTGGAACAATAAAAAGCATAGCATCCTTAGGCTTTTGAAAACATCAGAGGTGGGATCAGGTATAAATAGAAGTAACCATCCTGTCATACCCGCCTTGTGTTCTTAGTCATAACCGGTAAGACGGGAAAATCTGAGGAAAATCATTGTGAAAATAATGGCAACAATTAGTTTGAAAAACATCAGTCAGCAAATGACTTAAAGTCAAATATATTTTTTAACAATGTCATTGTGTCGACCATAGAACATGTGAAATGATGACTTTAAACGAGACGTTGATATCCTTATTTCATTCCGCCGAAACATGGCTGAAAAATTGCCGACTCGGCGTTAAACAATATACAATCAATCAATCTTTATTTCATCAACTCATCAACTTTTCAATAGTTTTTTAAAGAAATTGTTCGTGTGTAAAGCATGTTCTTGAGTATCAGATCAACTGGGAGACATAAACTCCGCATGCATTTGATTAGGGTATATTAATTGCTACAAAATTAAGGGAAGTTGACGATAGAAAATGACAAGTCATATCATAAAGTTTTCTTGTAAGGTTACTATTAACATATTTTCAGGTAAAATATTTAAATATGAAACAGATGTCTCTTACTCGGTGGTATCTTTTATTTCGAGTTCATTGGAATATATATTGAATCAACGTAGAGATGAAAAAAATATTGAAAAATGATAATGTTGAATTAAAAGCCACATTGAGAGACTTCTTCCTATTTTTCTATAGAAGTGTTTTGATAAATTCTGTTTTGTATGATTTCAAAAAAAAGGTCTGCTAATAAAGAGGCGCAATTTGTAACCATGGGAATTTAGATAGATTGTTGGAGGATTTGAAATGTACGTTAAACTTCATAGATATTGTGGACTCTCAAGAATCTTTTTAATAACAACTTCGGATTGCTTATATGAACTATCAAAATATTTTTTAACAAAATAATTTTGCAAATGTCTAGTAACAAGGTAAGTGAAATTTCAACCAATTTTTATTACATTTCATTAATATTTTTCAAGAAAATTTCACTTATCTGTTTGCTATCTTATTTTAAAATCAAATTTATCAAAATTTTGCCTAAAATATGTGAAAAATAAAGCATAAAGAAGAACTGTAAGAATCATTTTCATGGAATATTACCAATTTGTTGTTCACATTTTTTTTTAATTACTACGATGATTTTACGTTCTCTACGCCAACTGAATGCTTCTGTGTATCTGAAGAAGGAAGTATTTTTGCTTAATTTGACAAAGGTGTAATTTAGTAAAAAGGACTTTGAATTCATTAGACCACCTACAGCTTCCATGTTATGTTGTCAAGTTCTCTACCACTTATTAAGGACGTATTTATTATGTTTGAAGCCAAATTTATAATTTATGGTGGCAATTTATATAAGGAAGTGCAAACTCTTGATATTTTTATGTTCAGATGAGCATGGGCATATATATAATAGATATTAGATAATTTTTATCTGTTCAGTAAGTTGTTTTTTCGAATTCGGCATTGTATGTTATATAATATTTGGGACTGGTTAAATTGTTCACATTCATCAAGCATTAAGCATTAAGATCTGAAGCTTTTGAAACATAATTCTATAAAATATATAAATTAAATCCTCGTTGATAATCAACTTTTAACATTAATTATGATTCTGTATGTTTGCTGATTCTTATTACAACTGAATACTCCTTTTAGTTCCACTGTACTTAACAACGAGATTTCTTCTGTATTATATTTCTTCTTGTTCCGCAACATGTAAGTTTTACAGCAAATATTTCTTAAATTTTTAAAAACTGGGTTCAAAATCATTAAATTCATTAAATTATAAACAAATACTAAAATTCAACCAGATTAATGTCAGACACGAGAGAGTTTAAATGCTGCGGTTCGAAGTCGATGACTTATTTGGAATTCTGAAATTGTGCCAGTATTTTGGTTGGAGTAATTAGTGGAAGATTAGAAAGAAAACTGAACTGAACTTAAAATGAACTGTTTCTTTAATCATTGGAGTATAATGTATGGTGATGCTTGTTCGGAAATAACTGTTTGTTGTTTTTATTGAAAAAGTTAAAAAAAATATACTCATTTCGTAATTTTATTTATGGGCTTTTTCAGACCAAATACACCACATCAATCATGCACAGTTGATCACAAATCCTTTTAATGAAAGGTCAAAAAACCTATAGCATCAATATTCAACTTTCTTCAGTGCAATACAGGGGGACATGTCATCTTCTAGACCTTAAAATCATCACACGATGATGAATAAAATTCTTTATACTTACCAGACCTTATCATTGACATCATCATTAATGTTGTCTTCATTCTGTCGTGTGTAGATGACTGTTATGTAATAACCTCTAATCAACATGCAATGACTTTTAATTTTTCAAAGAGAAAATCTTTTCGGGTTTTTTGTCATTTCCTTAATTTTTTACACCCAGTCTCTATCAGCAAAGCTAGGGTGTGTGTTATTTTATTTGATGTAATTGTATGAAAAGACGAATTCATTTTAATGTTGAAAGTGGTGTTCTATTTAGAAATTGCATAAATCAAGATGAAAAGGTTTAAAAGAAAATTAAGTTAATTGATTGAATGCTGTGTCTTTGAAAGAGAAATGTAATTCGTTAGATGTAAAAATCCATTTGATGGTTGGCTATTGAAAACTAAACAATAGTTTTGCTATACATACTTAAAATCTTGCATTAAACGAATGAAGAACAATATGAAAACCGTGTATATCCTGCTGTGGTCAATATTTCAGAAGTGAAAACAAAGAAGATAAATTATATAATCAGTATAAATTGTTCCTAGCCTACAAAGCATGGAACAGCATTGTCTTTGCTTGTAAATATCATTATTATTTTTATTCTACAAGTGTTAATCCCAATTTTACCCATACCAAACTAAGGAGGCTTTAAATTACTATATTTTCTGGATTATTCAACATCATAAAAATCCTATAGATACATAGCGTAGATATTCTCCCTTATAGCCTCTTGTTTTAAATCCTCGCTATAAACGAGAAACTTCAGGAGGACAGCGCAACACTATATTCGAGAAGTGGTGCAAATCCGATTTGGTTAGTTTAAAACTTCAATGAAGTTTTTAAAAATTTGAATTCACAAAAGTTTAGCAAAAGCAAAAGCATCAAAACGAACAACTTTTCAACACTTTACTTGAGTATACAACCATTCCCCACAATAAATCAAAGTCCTTTTTTTAATCATAGACAGTTACTTTTTAATTTTTCTAAAAATGGACTCGCTTTATTTACCTTGTAATTTGTAAAATTATTTTGTTACATTTCTGATTGTACACACGAATACTCTCAGTTTGAAATTAAAAGATGCTTGAGTTTCTGATTGACAATTTTCTGTTAGTTTTTTTTTTCTTTTGGAGATCAGGTCTTCCATCATTATATCGGGTACCAATTACAGACTCATTTGTATTCATACGAAACAGAATTTTTTCAGAAAAATTAAACATGAGAAGAATGAAATACTTGATGTGGCCTTTAACTCGTCATTTGGATGTATCGACGACGTATTATCAATTAATAATAGATACTTCAATTCAGTTATCATTTATTGTTCAGTTTTATTCATATGTCGACTCGATATATCTGAGAGATTTTAAAATAAGAGATACCACAGGGTCTGGCTTATCCTTTTCATACATCTGTTTGGATATTTTTACTAGAAAAAGACGATAATAGCAATGTTATAACAAAACGTAATGATAAACCTGAGGACTTCAATTTTTCTATCGTTAACTTCCCCTATAATTATACCAATATACCCTTATTACCTGCATTTAGGGTTCAAGTCTTCCAGTTGATTTGATAAGCATTAAGCAGAGCAAGCTCTGCGTACTTATAATTTTTAAAATGAGACAAACTATTGACAAACTATTGACAAAAAGTTGATGAAACAAGGTTATCATCAGTCTCATTTAAAATCATCAGTTTGCAAGTTCTACAAACGATTATATTATTAATATTCTTGTCAGCAAGTTCAATCTATTATATTAATTCAAATGTTGACTGACGTTTTTCATAACAGTTTTTAGAACATAATTTGCACACTGGATTGTCTACGGATTATTTTGTTTGTCCGATCACGACAAAGAGCACAAGGGATGCTTACTCCTCAAAGGCACCTGATCCCACGTCTGATGTTTTAGAGGTCTGTGTTTGCTCTGCTCCGGATTTGTATTGTTTCGATGGACTTTTGATCTCTGAAAACAATCCGATATATCTATATTTCATCTCAAAAAAGATTTTCATTAATTTTCTTTTTCAATTAGCATCAATCATATTATTCCAAGTGCCCAAAATGAGAACAGGGTAGTGTTTCTTCACAGGACGAGGCACACATTTCCTAATGCATTTGATAGATGCCGAGTCAGATCGATCTATAGTCAATATTAATAACATTTTAACATTGTTGACAGATCGCTATTTTTACTATTTGTAAAAATTGATATTTCCAGATGGATGTTGCAAATAAGCCGTTATTATCATTAATGCCCATTATCCAAGCAAGGTTTTTCAAGATATGTATTGATTAACATTTCCCAGTCATTCTATATGCTCTCAAAGTTTAAATGGAAGTAGTTTGACGAGACACAATTAAACCTTATCGGATCGACAAGAATATTGAATTAATGCCCCAGTATACAAGTCTTAAATAACCTGTTTGAAAAAAAAGTCTACTTGATTGGACTTGCTGAATAGTTATAGGCAAAGTCGTGTTGTGACTTCATTTAAATGTACATGGAATCGAATATTTTGATTTCTCACGAGAACTGAAATGAAAGAAATGGAGACTTGAAAAATCTGGTTCAATCAATATTTGAGGGAATATTGTGTGTATATATTTCAAAGTATAAAGTGTAAGAAGATAGTGTTAACAATGTTGTTTATACCGTAGCCATGACCGGAGGAGGTGAAAAAATGCAGGACTCCGGAACGCAATCGGAAACTCCACAGGTAAAAAAAACGGATTCTGTCAATTCATGGATACGCATCACGTATGCGTTTTATTCTGGTTCATTTATCCACACGTGACGTATCTTTACATCTCTAAATATTAACAAAGATTTGGTCGTTGTCAAGATATAAGGTGTTGATTTGACAAAGATTTCATAATCCATGTCAAAGGTCTTCTTTGTTTATGCGAAGAAGTGGGTTAGAATTGACGCCGTATTCAGACTTATCACGAAACATGGGTCCCGTCTCCTGCTATACATTAGGTCGACAAGGTTCTCGATTAACTGCTTGTGATAACTCACGGCAGCATATAAATAATAAGTTGTCAACCATAATTAATTTTTTGTTTACATGCAACAGTTAGAGATACCAAAAGCTATAGTTTTGGGTTGAGGACATGCATTTGTGTCGATAGCAACACCAGGTTTTCGGGAATTTTGGCACTCAAGCAGCATTTTTTTTTTTTTGTAAAAGGGAAGTTCTATTTTAGATAAAGTTCTTTTTTTCGAATAAAATTCATACACGTGGTACCAGAAAGTGTAATTCATTCTTATAGTACAGTGTATTGAGTTTTGGAGAAATCATTCATTGCATTCCATTGTGGGTATATAAATGCTTTCCTTTTACAAAAGTAAGTCAGTTTGATCAAGCGATAAAATAAATATTTAAACAAAGGTCTTGAAAAGAATCGAGGTGGGTTGCCAGTGTTTCAAAACGTATTTTAAACACCTTTTTTGCTGCGCCTTTTTTCACAATTAAAGTTCTAGCATGGTGTTGTTTTGGCGTTTATTGCTCCATGTGGTTTGAAAACTTCGTGGTTGAACGGAAGCAATACTTTTAAGACAAATAATTACACTGAAAGAGAGAAATCTGCTTTAAATTCTAATCCGATTTAACCAAATGTGAATGAATAAAGCATTACAACACACTGTTAAAATGTTTTCTTAATTAATCTTTGACGAATTAAAATTATCTTAACAAAAGTATCATTTTAAAACCATGACCTTTTCTCACCCTTTAAGTGCATAACTATAAATAAAGCATCTAAACGAAGATAAATTAATTTTGACATATCAATATTTGACAAATGGACCTAAAATATCATTACAAAAAAATATTTATTAATGTTAAACCATTCGTCATACCGTCATGCTTCTATTGCATTGGTCAAATCTGAAGACAGTGAAGTTTTTAATTTTCAAATGGAAAGATCTCCTTTCCCATATTTGTACTTCTGTACCAGTTACTAGACTAAGTATTGTTCGCATTTTAGTTAAAAGTAACAAGACTTTTTTTTATATCCAAAACCACGAGTTTTAAAAATCCTGATTCCCTCTTTGTTGTTCTTCTGCGATGAAATCAAACCTTGATTTGGGTGTATTGGATTATGAAATAATAAGTTTTAAAAATATATATCAGAGTTCCTTATCAGACAAGTAGGCGACACAATAGACATAAAAAGAACACTGACATCCAATACGGTTATTTGGCTTATGAGTGATAGAAAAAAAAACTTAATGACCTTGATCTGTTAACTTAAAATAGGGACCCTGGCATGAAACAATTGAAATTTCCATGTTTATGTTCTATAGATAATTTGAAGCAAGATTTGAGGGAGATCCAAGGTTGACTTTATAGGATGCGTTGGCGTGGTGATAAAAGTATTTTTGAGAGCTTCAATAACATTATTCTGTTCGATGGGCGTACAGAGCTTTTGTAGGTTGCAGCTTTTAAGGGTGATAAAAGCTTTTTAAAATTGTTTGTTTACAAATAACGTATATATATTTATTTACGTTCAAATTTTAAAATGGGGATTCACTAAACTTGATGACCATGATAAGGATTGATAAGAACACGTATAAAATTATGTATGGTCATTTAAGCCTAATCTGATGAAAGATGCACTTAAATACTGTATTAACCCCTATCTCTTTCGTATGAAAATAAAAGGTATGTGCATTGATGGGGATAATTTTTGTTATAAATATTTGACAACTGCACAAAATACAAGAAATAAATTATGAAAAAGTATAGATAAAATATATCCAAATAATATAGAACCTCAGTTAAATAAAAACGTACGACTTTATGCTACTATTTCTCACTGTGAACTTGAAAACTAGATTTTTTGATATCATCGACAATCTTCAATAAAAATGGAAGTCTGAAATTTTTGTAACTTCTGATTGTTCATCGACCAAAATATTTTGTTAAAAGTCGTTTTTAAATTTATACAAAGTACTCTTAAGTTGATGTTAAAAAGATACTAGAGTTTCTCATTAAAAAAAAGATTTATGTAGTCTTCGGAGACCAGGTTTTCCAGAAACTGATGGAATTCCGATGGACACCAATTGTGCTCCTATATCAGCTGACCTGTTTTTATAATCAAATGAATTCTATTCGACAATAACGACTTCATAAGAAAAAAATAATACTTACTGGGGCATTCAATTCATCATTTAGATAGATCAACGTCGTAGTATCAAACAACATTAGTTACTTCCATACACAGTGTCGATTCGAAACATCCCATTGAACTTGAATTACGACAGCACAGTGCATGCTACATGTCTTTCATATTTGGCTGTTTTACTTGTTATAATAGATAAGGATGCTCCGAGTAAGATTATTTTTTCAAATGGAGTAAGCTACTGATAGATAAATTGATGTTACGGGGATATCAACAACCTCTTTAAAGTCAGCATTTCTTGAATTCTAAGATCGTTATAATGATCTTGTTAGCAAATATAAACTATCATTATGTCGTATTTTGGCTGACATTTAAAACTTGTTAGGTCTTTGTATTATACATGGCATCAGATTCTATGTATGTAACAGTGACCTTGTTGGCAGATATAACCTAGCATTGCATTATACATAGTGCTCAAGGCGGGCATGACTGGTAAACGGGATGTTTACTCCCCCTAGACATCTGATCCTACCTCTGAAATTTCAGAGGTTTCATGTGTATGTCCTGTTATCAAAACTGTATAAAAACTACATGTATATAGATTTTTTTTAGATCAATCACTTTTCGTTGTTAACCTTTTTCAGTAAGCACAATTCAATTATGGTAAGAAAATGGACTGTTATCGAATATCTTTGATGAAATTAATTCGTCCATTAATGGTCGCTGGTTTGTCTTGATTTTGAATTGGCATCTGGAATCTCATCAGCAATTTCCCCTTGTCAGAAAAAGAAAATGGCGTGCTAACTGATGAGGTGTCGTACCTGTTAATTAGAAAAGCGTTAATGGAAACTTGCTTTACCTTCAATGGCCAATACCATTCACTGTTCCATAGTTAAAGTGCATGAAAAGAAGAAATTCACTCGTTCTGTAGTGACAAAGGTACTCTTATCCGGAATCTCTAGTAAATGGAATTGATGCTCGTGTTCTGTATACTTGCAATTGGTGTGGAAAAAATTTCGAAATTTTAATTTTTGTTTTAATAGGTTTATTGTGATTATTTTGATCAATTTTACGGGTTAAAGGTTTACGAAATTTCATATATTATTAAATTCAACACCTCTTAGGGTGGATTGGGGTTGTAGTGCAGCGGAAAAAAAACACACCAATATTCGCCATGCACAGACAATCACAGTAGTGAATACAGAAGTCATTTTTATTTTAACGGAAATGAATTTGCACTTTCTTGACCAGATCCCACTGGAGTCAGTTCCTGAGGAGCCGGACGAAGAATACGAAATAGAGCCAGACTTGACTCGGGAAGTGTCGACACCAAATGTTCGGATACCATCTCAATCAGCACGTGCAACCCTCGTAAGGACACCTGCGACGCGGGAAAAGACCACATCGCCTTTAGTGTTTAACGAGGAAGAAGAGTTCAAAAAGGATGAAGAAGACAACATTTTAATTACTGAGATTAAGCCGACAGAATATCAGGAGGTAGAGTTCGAGGTTGAAGTGGAGCAGGAGGAAGATTCGGTGTCTCAAGGAAGCGAGGAACTTAAACATGTAGCAGTGGAGCCAATAGAGGCCGAACCCAAGGAGGAAGACTATGATACCGATCTTGAAATCGAAGGTAAGCTATGTATCCTGGCACGGCACCAAAAATATAAATTTCTTTAGATACATAAAATTGAATAAAACGAAGATAAATTATAAATTCTTTCATGTAACTTTTGTTTTAGCAAAAAATACTTGGATTGCGATGAGAATTATATGTTTTCTTAAAAAATATTTCAGAAGAGACATTTGTACATGATACAACTGGTCGATCTCACTACACAAAAATATGCCATCAGCTTGGTTTAGTACCAATCTCATACTTTATGCGGCATATCCAGGACACGGAGCTAGCTATGAGATACCACGGACTGGGACCAAGCTCAGCAAGAGCAATTGCGCTAGTGTTAAAGGTACACCTTTTTTTTTTTTTTACAGCTATTCGATTTATTTTGTTTTTTTACCTTCATCCAAAAATCATTTGATCAATTTGTTCAATGTCTCTATTTCACAATATACTTTGATGACATGTATTATTCTTGTGCTTTTTAGGATACCATTACGTTAGAAAAACTAGACTTACGTGGGAATTGGATAGAGGGAGAAGGTGGTGAAGCGGTGGCGCGCATGCTCGAAGAAAACGATTACGTCACCGATGTGGTAAATTTCACTCACTCAAGAATGTTTGAATATCAATACTAAATATTTCTGACGTTTATTCTTCAAAATTAAAAAGAAACTTCGTTTTTACAGTGCCTTGCAGACAACAAACTTGGACTTACTGGTGCTGAGAGCTTATGTAGAATGTTAAGCACTAACGCAGGCCTTCGCAAGTTGGATATTTCAGGTGAGTTTTGCAAATAAATTGGTATTTGACATTTACGCTCCAATGTAATAAAAAGGGTGATAATCACCATTCTACCTAACTACATTGTCAGAATGGTTTCCGAGATATTCTTATAAGTTGATAATAAATTACAATGTAGAACGTTGGTGGCGCATGTTAATCAAAATGTCTACATGCCGCACAGATGCGTTGTGTTCTTACAATTGCATATATGTGACCTTGTAATCTATTTTACTATTACAGACAATGGATTCGGCACAGTAGAGGCAGCAGTGATAGCGCAGGCCCTCGAGGTACCGATGTTTTTATTAACCTTCATGGGACGAAAAAAAAAATCAAATCTCTTAACAAACAATAAGCAAAAAATACCTTTCTGTCGTTCAAGTGTCTATTAAATCCCGAGATTTACAAGGCCACCGTGTTTTTTCATGGCGCAATTTATCATTTTGTAACTCTGGACACCGTTTGCAGCAGGTGTAGAAAAGCCTTTGCTTGCACTTTGGGCTCAACCTTTCCATTAATGATCTCATTTAACATGCACTTCTCGCATTTAATTGATCAATACGATGTTTCTGACATGTCAGACAGACTATTAGAATTGTTGGTCTGGTTCTAAGAATTATGTCCTCTTTTTCATTGTAGACAAACAAATATCTTAAAGTGCTGAACTTGAGTCATAACCGTTTTGATGAACAAGCTGGGGAAATTTTGGGTCCCGCAATAGGTACGGTAGATTATCTCATATCTCTGCAGTAAATGCAAAACACAGTTCCTCATCAAATCATTTTGCAGTGACAAAGTCGTTAAAAATATATGCTTATTGAAAAAGAATACCCATACCGACAAAAGCATGCCAAAATTTTACATAACCAAAGAATTTTTAACATAAAGACATAATTACGTAAATACATCTTAAATAATACCAATAGGTGCCAATGACATCTTGGATGTTTTGGATCTAAGTTGGAATTGTCTTCGACAAAAGGGCGCTGTCTCTGTAGCCAAGGGAATCAAGGTATTCTACATTGAAGATCATCTTCTCAAATATGACAGTTGCATATACCTTCGTATTTCCAAAGTTCCCAAGTTCCAAGTCATACATGCTTTTTTTTTGTACAGGAAAACGTTAGGTTAAAGAAATGCAGTCTTGCATGGAACGGTTTTGGTCCAGAGGGTGGCGTGGCGATCGCTGACGCTCTTATGACCAACAACTCCCTCCAGGAAATTGACATCAGTGGTAACAGACTAAGTGCGGATGTTGCCATAAAAGTGGCTAAAGCCATAATGAGTAATGACAATATCAGAATACTCAAGGTACGGTCTTAAGTTGTTGAACAAATTAAAAGCTATTTCTTTTAAAAAAAATGACTAACGCCTAACCATACACTATTCCATTGTAATTACAGATGGGTAACAACCTTCTTACAACGGCAGGTGCAATAGCGTTAGCAAAAGCTATAAACGAAAGTGAAAGCAGTGAAATGGAAGAGTTGGACTTAACTGTAGGTGATATTGTGCTTAATTAAATTTCAATATATTCTTAAGATTTTAAGCGTGCTTGGCTTACAAATGTAGTCAATTGCCTATGGACTCTTTTTGCTCTATAATCATCCGTAATTCTTTAATGCTGTATTTTCCCATTGCAGGATGTCCCCGTTGAATTTGAATTCCTGCGCATTATTGAAGACATCAAAGCCAAAAGACCCAATTTTAAAGTTGCTCATGGACCTATATTGAGAGTTGGGAATACGACAGAAGATCTAGGCAAACCCGCCATTGATCCAAATCCGCGCCGGAAAAAAGACCCCATAATGGTGTTAGACCAGCACATAGTGGTCAACGACTTCCGTCTCTTAGATATCCTTAAACGTTATGACCCTGACAACTCTATGACCCTTGAACCTCAGCAATTTCTCGCCGCTTGTGAGGTATGTATACCTTTTTTTTTAAAGATTGAGATTTTCTGGAAAAATAAAATTGTAGTGTATATTTATATTTATCCTGCATTTTAATTTTGGCTGATCTTGGAATAGGTTATGAAAAGAAGCTGAAACTTGTTAAAATTAAAGGTAGATATTCAGATTGTAATAAAAAAACAGGGTACGCATAAAAAGGAAGGTGGATATAGGTTCTTTACCACAATTTCAGAAACGACCATTATAACCAAAAATCCAGGCTAAAATCAGAGATATTGGGGAAAAAATAATAATTGATAAAACCTTCTTTACTTTAAGGAACTAGCTATACCTTATGATAGAGCTAAGGTAGAGGAAGCTGTCAAACGTCTTGTTGACCAGAAACCAGGAAATGAGAATGGCAGAATCTACTTCGGGTAAGCTCTTTACCATATTCAAATCATAATTGTGTAATCATTGATTATCTTCATTATTATAAATTTCGCATACATCATTTTTTTTTTTACAGAAATTTCTTTGATCAAGAGAAACTTCAGGAACACATCAAAAAGTACCAAGAGAAGACTGATAATGAAACATGAATGTTTCCACTGGAATTATTTCTGTTCTCAAGTCTGCACTGTACACATATACTTAGTATATGGAAAATTGGGATCAGTGTCAAATCTACAATTGTAAACTGAAAGACACATTTCACTTGCATGGCAATACATTAATGCATTATGTGACCTTCATTACAACCCTTTTGTGCTATTCAGCCTGTGCCAACCTTAATAAGTGCCTACTTTTAAAGTTTAAAAAGAATGCCCTGTGCCTTCTTTTACAAATTGGGAGGATTCCGTCCTGTAACCTCAACAGTTGTGATAATCTTCACTTTTAGCAGGATATTTTCATAGACGACACAGAGATATTTATTTCTACACATCAGCTAAAAATTATTAATATCTAACATCAATATTTATACATATTGAAAATGCTTTAACTGAATAAAAGAGAAAGTTTCTTCATGGTTTTAAGTATTTATTTTATAATTTAAAAATCAACAAGCTTGGGAGATGTCTGTATACACCCCTCTAATGATAATAAAGCCGACGACAAAAAATCAATACATTGTATTATTTTTTGGCTACAATTGGAATGGAATACAAAACAATGTTTAATTCAATTAAATTGAGTTAAAGCTACAATCTAATATATATAATACAACAATAGGCTCACATCCAACAACCTTCACCCGAGGTGCATTTCTTCATACATGAAGTACCATAGAGAAGTAAGTTTTGATGATGTGAAAACGTACCAAAATTGATGAAGAACTGCAATTCTAACCTTGTCATTAAAATGTTTCATGAAGATGTATGAGTTGACAAAAATGTATCTGCATTTTCAGAAGATGCTTAAGTGTGAAACATCAATCAACAGAACTATAATCATGGTGTATATGGCATCATTACTGTCTTCTTCCTGGATTTGTGTCCTTGACACTTGAATCTCATTTTTTTTTACATTTGTCCTTGACCCAAAAATCATATTTTGGATTTCCTTGTATGGCCTGCAGCAGGAACATTTCTTTCATCCCAGATTGTCACTCCATCACATGAACAGATTTTTTTCTCGGAATTCTGGAAGAGTCCTGCTGATCTTGCAATTATGCCACAGGAAAGTCTGAAAAAGGAGATTTTCTGAATTATTAGGGCTATCTGATAAATTCCTTTTTTCATTTAAACTAGTTTGTTCTCTTCCTAATACAGGGTTCACATGCGTGTGTGAGGATCGGTCAATATATTGGGGTTCAATAGCTCAGTAGTTAGAGCACTGGCATAGTTTGTCAGAGGACAAATATTTGATTCCTAATTAAGAATAGGGATTAAGAAAGAAGAAATGTTATATGAAGACTACTTTTGTATCAGGTTAATTTAGTAAAAAAAAAAAATAAAACTCTAAATCATCCATGTGAATAAAGATGTTAAACATAGGGCAACAACATTTCATCTATATAGAGGTGTTTGTAACATTTCAATTAATCCCAGTGCAGTTTCTCTTGCTTTTTCTGGATCTGTGAAGTTAAACTTTCTGGTGTCTCTTGATGAACAACTAGAGATCTTCCAATGACTTCCCAGACTTTTAATCTTTTGCTGGTCAATCTGAAATCTGCCCGGCCATTAGCTGCAGCTTCAATTTCTCCTAGGTCACCTACAGGCTGTTAATGCAAAAATAAATGCAGAAAAATTTAAGCAACATGAGAGGAAAATGCATTTCACTCTGAAATACAGGAGTTAACATTTTTTATATTAATGGTAAACATTACCAATAAATGATTTAAACTGCAACTGAGCATTATGCTTGAAACATCTGAATTCTGCCAAATTTGAGATGCGTTTTGGATACAAATTTCAAATAAAAGAACAAGGTAGTACATGTACCGGTATAAGGGTTTCATTCAGAGTAAAATGAACTAGAGGGTTTTTGAGGGTTTTGTTCTAAGAAAAATTGCTATCATGCCAGTTCGATAATGATTTTCTTTAGCGATAACATGAAGAAAAGTATGAAATATGTCAGGAATTTTTCTTATTCCTATCTCATTTTTAATGTTCTTTTTTCAATTCTATTAAAAAAATTGACTCAGAAAACTTGCAAGGTATCTATAAAATTTAATGTTTTATATGCAAGAATCACATAATGTACATATTGTGTGTGAAAATATCAGATAGATTAGTAGTTTCTATTCTCTATTTTTTTTTTATGTGTAGTTTTTTTCAAAATTAGAAGTTTAAAAAGTTTTGATGACAATTCTTAAAATTGACTGTACCTTTTCTGTCTGAGGACTCAGTCTTCCAAGAATTTCTCCACAACTGAAAAAAAGCAATTTACATTCTCCAATATATTTTTACTTCTGTTCAAGGGAGGCAATTACCAAAAATTCTCATATATTTTGTACAAACACTTACAAAATGAAAAAAAATAAATTACTGTAGTAATTTCACAATATTGAAATGATTATTTTCTACAAATATTCCATACAATGGCCAAGTCTTAAATATAAAAACTTAATTTAGATGCAGAATGGCAATGAATACAAGCATTTGTTTCACTTCACATCCCGACAAGGAGAAATTTGGGTACATCAATTCATAATAATAAATCATACATGTACAACTACCCAGTAAATATACCATCATATATAAGCATACACGAACCTGTCACATCCTTGGGAAATATCCCCGAGTTCATGTATAAAAAGTCTGTGTTTCCCATGCGGTAGACCATCAATAGTGCCATCTATGATGCAATTGGATGAATTTGATTGGACCATTCGTATGACTCCCTGGATTCTGTCATCACCAGTGTTTAATTGAACCACACCTGACTCAACAGGGGTCTCTAATTAAAAAAAGAAGACTTTTTTCAATACTTTAAGTCTTGAAACTTATATAGCATATCTGATGAAGTAAAGAGCTTATATATTGTGATTTATTGTTAAAGTTATAGGCCCTATAAAACAGAGACTGAACTCACTATTCAGTGATCCATACCCCTGAAGAACTGCCTTTTTCCCGGTCTTTTCTATCAATGCTTGGATCTGATTAGAGGTCAAAGTACTTTCAACAATTACCTGGTCTGTTGCCAAGTTCACCTCAACTGACTTTACACCTGAAAGAAAAGAGGAACTTGAAAAATACTATGCCCTAGTAAAAACTGAATATTCATTTTCTCCAATCCGTACTGAATCCACATTATTGCACTCAAGATTTAATCTTCTTTCTTTTAGCTCTAATCATTTAAGTATTTTTGCTCTTACATTTTCACTCTTAAACTGGCAGATTGATTTCAATTTTCAATAGTTTCACAAGTTGAAAATACAATTTCATTCTTCAAAGCATGCATGGTAATAATTTGATAGATACCATTTACATCAAGAAGTGAATTTTTCACAGATTTAACACAGCCCTCACATGTCATATTCACAGCAAACTCCATCTGTAGAAAACAAAACCTCAATATGATGTTATTTTCAAAAACTATCATAATATAGGAACTTAAGAAGTTAAATCTGGTACATATGCACGTTAATGTTTAAGATAATAACTTTTATCAATATTTAATTTGGTCTCGGTATATATCCAATGTCATTATTGACATTGACTCTGGGCTGTACTTTGATATTTATTCTCTAGTCTTCTCTGACTTCAATCTTTTTAATCCTGTTTGTATGAAAAATACAATTTAGTTTTAGGCCTAACATCCTAGATACTGACCCATACAAAAAGTAAAAGCTGAGCAGTTCAATAAAAAAATGTACATAAGGCCAGATAAAATTAATATTTAGATTCTCATCCCCGCCCGCCCCTCTCAAAATGCCCCGCCCCGGTGTTTTTTATTTTCATTTTTTTGAGTTAATAACGTATTTTCATGTATTTTTTATTCAGCAAGAATTTGGGTCAGAGTTTGAGAGTTATCTCCCGTCTGTAATACAAGTCGCGTGTCGCTATTTATAGCAAAAGAGCCATGTGAAGAATGGAGAAAAATCGGCATTAAAAGCAGTTTAAACATGTAAGGAAAAGATAATTTGTCAGTATAGAGAAGGTTTAGAAGGAAAAATAGCATAAACACATCTACATGTAGATACTATCACTGGTATGAGCTAGTTTTAGAGAGATTTTAACTAAGTTAAAATAGACGAGGAAAATGACACCTGGTCAAGTTATAATGATCTCCAGATCTGTGTGATTTTGCTTTGGAAAAAAAAACATCGTAGGCAGACTTTAAAAAATATTGAGTGACAAGGAAATATTAAGTCTTCAAACTATTCAGGCCTTGGTTTTTTACTACAATATTTTATTAGCATATTTTATAGATTTTGCAAATATTTAACCTATTTTAATGTCGAACACGACAAGTGTTAAGAACGATAAAATTTTTTAGGAAGGTGGAAATCTATGATATTTTACAGAAAACAGATGGATTTGTTGGTAAAACTTAAAGGTATCTGGGGAAAGGCGGATGAGAAGTCATGCACATACATTTTATTTAGTATCCCCACCTCATTTTGTTTGGCGTCTGCCGTATAATGTGTACTTGATAGTTTGTTGATTAACAACGAATATTTAATTTTTAAAAGCAAGCACCTTCTTTAAATATTTAAAAGAATAGGAAAAGAATAACATCTATTCATATTGGCATTATTATATAATATAATGATAAGAAAAATGTGTACGAAAATTAAGTTCATGTTTTGTTAATACTTTCAATTTAACATTTATAAAAAATAAAAAATAAAATCCGCCCACCCGCCCCAATTTTTTAGCAAATTAGGATGAGAATCTAAAGATGAATTTTACCTGGCCTAAAAACAATCAGTTACACACGAAATGATAAAGCAAACAGATTATCTAAGAATCATAGCATATCAAAGAAATAAGACAGATATTGTCACTGCCACTTTATTATAAGATAACAACAAACAAAATTTACCACAGCACTGTCTTCCCTGGAGGCTGCCATGTTTGAAGAAATGTAAGAATCGTTCCAAGAATGATTCGTATTTCACAATCAATTGAAGGCAAAACGTTGTCCAAATGAAAGAAGATTATCTTAGCAGATTTCTATTTTAATATATAGATTTCATGCTTTGTAAATAAAACACAAAATGATTTTTTTCTTTCTGTATCCGGAATAAGAACACGTAAAGGTTGACTTTTCTATTAACCGGAAGTTTTTGTCACGTGACTGTACCCGCCTGTAGGTTTAAAACGCTGCTGAAAATGTTTCAACTTTTGTATTTAAATAAGGTTTAATGGTATGTTTTTATGTATATAAGATATATAGTTGTTGAATATTGTTTATATGCACCGAACAATCAAGTTGAAGGTACATGAAAGGTATATTTAGAATGCCGATGTTTATGCTGCATCCTACCACGAGATGCATTCATGCCAGGTGCCATGATGCATGGGTTGTTGTTTGATATTTAAGAAAAATATATGACATGTCATCTGAAGTTTCTATAAGTTTATACTTATTTAGTTTTACGTGCATTGTGAAAACTTGGTAAGATGCAAATCATTTTAAAAGCCAAGTGCAGGACAAATCTATATTATAATATATACATACTTTCTACCTATAACTTTATAAGGAACAATTTGTATTGCTTCAAAACTGTTAATATCACTGCATTGTAATACTATCAGCAAATTAAATATAGACTTTTCTACCAGAGCTCAGTCTCGATCAGCTGCTGTCCTGCTATAGAATTGCAGATAACATTTGTATAAAATTTCAGGCCATAACGGACCATGAATAATTATATTAGCCTGGGTATAAGGGACCTTCTAAGGGGACTAAGATAGCGGATAGCTCATTGGTAGAGCTCCTGGATAGAAATAAAGGGGTCCTGGGTTCAAAACTAGGTCTATTTTATATTTTCTTTGTGCATTTTTTCTTTTTCACTACATTTGTTGGCCAGTTTGAAGGGCCTAGCCCTCATTTAGGTTACTGATGTGTGTAAATAAATAAGTCCTGACAGGGAACATGGACAGTCAAAAGATAATGTGATGGAATGTAGAAATTAGGCTTTGACTGTGGATAGCACCTAGGAAGCTCATTGGTCAAGCACCTGACTAGAAATACAGGGGTCCTAGGTTCAAATTCTGGTCAAGTCATATAGTTTCCTTCATGCATTTCTCCTCTCCTTCAAAAATACTAGGTTCACATCTTTTTTCCCACATTTAAATAATAAACCATCCATAGGCCTCTTTCTATTTTTCAATATCATATGAAACAGTGTATATAATGAATTTATTTTCATCTCTTACCAGGCATAAAAATATAATTAAACATGTATAGCATTGTGCTATTGAAAAACAGTTTTGTTTTATTATAAACTGAATTTGTTATAAATTGTTAAGTGACTTGCATCACAATATATTTCTGATTGATATGATTTTAGGTAGAATGTCTGGCTGATAAATAATGATCAGAGATGGCAAAAGCTCAGAAGAAAGAAGATGGAGATGAAATCCGTAAAGCACTTGGTAAATCACATTTTTTTTTAATATGAGAAATTACATCAACATAGTGTTTAGGAATCTTTACTGTGATTATTTGATTATTTTCTTTAAGTGGGATTGGGGGAGGGGGTAAAATATTTAAATTCTGTACTTAATTTCTGTATTCCTTAATTTCCTTAACTATAAACTTTTGGACATTTTATTTTCACATAGTCAGTTTTCAGACACAAAATTTTTCACAGCATTTTTTTTTTCTGAAACAGGGCTTAACAAGAATCAGTGCCTGTTTTGCCTGAAGTCAGAGGATAATGAGGAGAAATATGGCAAATACATAAAGAAATTTGGACTGACACTCCACTATTTTTGTATGGTAAGCCTCTCTTCATCCATACTGAGTCCACCTCCAAAGTTTAATTATCCAAATACAGCGTTTTAATTTTGTTTTATTATCTTTTTGCATTTATTTTGAAAATGTATATAAATTCAAGTTATTAAAAGAATTGAATGTATCAGATTGTGAAAAGTGACCATATCCAGTGAAATGTTAATCTTGTATCTTTTTTGCAGCTGTTTGCCAGTGGCTTGAGTCAGCGAGGAGAGAGTGATGAAGATGGAATCTCTGGCTTTCTACCAGCCGACGTACTGAAGGAGCTTAAAAGGGGGCTAAGGCTGGTCAGTAGAGCTGTCATTGAGGAAACATTTCATATCAATATTATATGACATTTCATATCAATATTATATGTTTACTTCAGAATCATTTTAAATTGTGAGAGTAAATGTTCATGGGCAAGCAAAATTTTACTTGTTTGTTGAGACATAATTTCTTTGGTTACTCGTAGAATGAATCAATCTGTATACAAAATGAAAAAAATTATGGGCATGGAAATGAAATGTGAAGTTGTTGAAAATGAGCAAATATTTACATTGTACTAAAAGTGTGTTTTATGATTTGAAAATGTTGAAAACCTGCAACTATAAACTAAAAGAAGTAACAAGATAAGAAAAAATATTTAAAAGAGAATAGTAGATCATTGGACTGTCATAAAAATTTTATTTTATTTTTCAGAGATGCACGTTTTGTAAATACAAAGGTGCTACCATTGGTTGTGTGGTTGGAAAATGTCGGACAGTGTTTCACTACAGTTGTGGGATAGAAAGCAAAACGCTGCACCAGTTTTTTGACACATTTAGGTATGTGCTTTCACACCACTTTTTGGGACCTTGTGGAGCAATATTTCAAACTTTTATCTGTGAAGGGGGCCACGCAATGCACATATTTTATAAAATCAAAACTTTATTTCCAGTTCATTTTGCTCAGACCATCGCCCACTGCAGATAGCCTGTCCAGAGGAACAAGCTGAGGTATCCACGTGTGCTATATGTATGACCACTGTTATCAATAAACCTCAAAATGACACACTCAAATCACCGTGCTGTAGAGGATCATGGTTCCACAGGACATGCATACAGGTAGGCACATGTATATTGTTGATTTATAGTAAAAAAAAAGGGGGGGGTAAGTAAATTACATGTATTATGTAAACCAAGCTTGTTTATCTTTTCTTTTTGTTTTATTTTTCCTTAACATGTAATATCAATACATAATATAACATTGTTTTCACTATATTCAAATAAATTAAAGAAGATAATGCAAGGAGGATTTAAAAAAAAAAAAATACAAAAATTAGGTGATGGACTATGATGTCAAAATCGCAAAATCTAAAATGCTATTAATCATGAAAGAAATTGTATCAATACATTTATATTTTCAGAAACATGCCACAACAGCTGGGTTGTATTTCTTTAAATGTCCACTCTGTAACAACAAGGACAACTTCCAGGAGGAGATGCTGAGGATGGGAGTCCACATTCCTGACCAGTGAGTGCTTAACTCAGCTACAGTAAAACAAGTTGATAAGGAATTTTAATCTATAAGAAGCAATTTTTATTTCTTTCAAGTTAAAAAAAAACATTACTTTAATTTCAATATTATCCTATCATATCAGCTGTATATTTGTTGGTCTTTTACCCATGTGTATTTTACAACTGTACATGACTTGACAGAGATGCAGCCTGGGAGACTGAGCCTAATGCCTTCACTGATCTGTTGGAGAGGTACCTTCACTGTGATGCCTACAGATGTCACTGTGACAAAGGGAGGGACTACAACAAAGATGGAGGGTAAGTCACAGAGAAGCTGTAAGGAAATTATTGTGCATGTATTATCAAATGTAGTATTGGTAGAAAACAGCCTTTTTAGACAAGGATTGCAAATCCTATGATAAATAAAATGAGATTGACTTAAAAAGTCCTTCAATTAGATTTTAGCACTATGTTTGCCATGTTATTATCGGCATGTAATGATGTATTGATTTACCATTACCAATAAATATACGTCCAAAGTTGAGGTTATTGTAGATCCAGTGTTAATTAAGTAATTTGTAAAAGAGAAAATCCTTTTGTCTTATATCAAGTCATTTTTACAGTGCTCCTACTAAAGAGAAAATACTGATTTTTACGATCATTTGATTTTTTAGGAAGTGGGAGATCTTGGTTTGTGACTGGTGTGGATCCACAGGTTCACATGTGGGGTGTCACAATATCATTAAAGTAGGACCTGATGACTACATGTGTCCAGACTGCTACGCAATAGAGGAAAAATGTAAGTATTTTGTTTGTGAGGTACAGAGGTGTTGGTTTGTAATTGTTGGTTCTAAAGGAAGTCATTTTTAAATGTCTCTCTTTGAAGATTTTTAGTAAACAGCAGAAACAGTTTTCAAGAATCTTAGTAAAGAAGATAAGGGGATGCATTTTTGACATTGGTGTTAATAATGCATTACTGTGTAAAACATATTGTAGAAAATAAACATATTGTAGAAAATAATGTTTTCTTTTTGTTAAATGTTTATATGGTTTCCTTGATATACAGTATATGGTAAAAGTAATCTCTTGCCATGAAATGTAAAAAATCAATTGAAATGTGTGTATCTTTAAAAATCTATTGATGTCATTTTGTTAAATTTTTGTCAATGCTTTTTCAGGGAATAACTGTCGTGGAATAAAGATCAAGAGGAAATGTAAGAAGAAGATTCCCTCCCCTAGAGCAAACAAGAAACAAGAAGACCCTGCCTTGGAGAACAAGGGCAAAAGTGAATACCAACAACAGGGCAGTGGCTTCAGAAAACTGACCACTCCTTCAGCCCTACCAGATGTGATGTCAGGGGACGAATTCTCCGGATCGGAAGCCATGGATGGAGTGATGAGCCCGGGAAGTTGTAATAAGTCGGCATTTAATGCAGGGCCTTTAGAGTCTCCAGAAAAACATGAGAGTATTATCTCTCCCATATCGCTCTCCAAATGTAGTGGGAAAAAGAGATTTATCAACAAAGAATTGCAGTTTAATGCACAGCAGAAAAGTTCAAATGTCGCTTCTTCTATGGTCAACAAAAAACAGACTGCCAGTAAAACTGTAGAGTCTGAGGATGAGGAGATTGACGTGGTGGGTGTAGAAGAGAGAATGGAACCTCAGAGGAAGAAGTCTTATCCTCAAGCCTTTTCCCCACCCCAAATGAAAGGATACGCTTATGTTGAAGACGACACACATGGACAGACAAGGGAAGGGAGGAGGATGAAGAGGAAAAAGAAGCAACATGACAGCATTCGCAAACTTCTGAGGTTAGATATCGATATGACTTGGACAGATGTGGATAGTTCAGACTCAGATTCTGACTTTAGACCTAAAAAGCTGAGGAGAAGAAATTCAGTTAAGTACAACTATGACACCAGTCCTAGTGTTGATATGGAAACCAAAAAAAGAAAAAGGTCTAAGGCCTCTGCAACAGTGACAAGCAGTTCTCAGTTACAGCAATCAAGCAGTATGTCTGAAAACTTGGTCCAAGGGGATCGTCCAACTGATGCCGAGACTAGTAAAAATAAAAATTCAAGATGTCCTCCTCGAAAGCAGCTAGTAGTAACCTCTCTTGACAACTTCAGCAATACAGATGAAAGTGCTAACAAGGATCTTCCTGGTAAGGAAACTCCAATACCACAGATTTCTTTAAATCAGGATTTGGATGTTTGTTTTGAGGATAAACTGCTCTCTGATAATGCTCTTCAGAAAAGCAGTGATTCTTGTAATGACAGATCTCTAACATCTTTATTAGATGGAAAACCAACACTGAAAAAATCTTCAAATGAAAAATCTAAAAATTCAAAACACAGGAAAACTTCAAAAGGGAAAAAGAGATACAAAATGAACCCAAATCAAATGCTAATCAAACAGTGGCTGGAAAATGGCAATGGTGAGAAAAAAGTGGAAGAGAAAGTGGAACTTCCTCCTGCAGTAGACAGCACCAAAAGTGGAGAGAAACCACGAAAAACTACACTAAAAATCAGATTTAAAGGCAAAACCTTCTTGTTTAACAGACGCCTTAGAAGTAGCACATCATTCAAAGAAAATTTACAGGCAGGAGAGAAGGAATCTATCAATTATAGTAAGTTTTCACCCAGGGTAGAGAGTCATCAAGGGAAACAACTCAAAGAACGTAGGAATTCTGGATCAAATTCATGCAAGTCTATAGATCCACTCGCAAGCCCACCAGAAGGAATAGCAGACTCCACAGATCTCTGGAGGGAGGCAAAAAGAATGGTGTTTACAGAAAGAAAGAGGAATTTTATGGAGCAACGGCACCTGTGCTCACCTAGGACATTTCCAAAGAAGAAAAGATCCAGAGCAATCGAATCCTTAGTGCGGCTTCCAGATGACACTATCAATAGTTATAGTGAGGAGCGCATTTATTGCACTGTTTCTAATGTGAATGTCAAGTGTTCCTTAGCCAAGAAGTTTGATTATTTGGAGAGACCTCAGTCTGAGAGTGGGTCCACTTCTACAGACATGTCAACATTGACTTTCATCGATTCCAATAGCTTTCTAAGTGAAGGTTCTATGCCCATATTGTCCCCAGTGGAAATGGATGACAGCCTAATTATCATGAGGGACAAAAATAGAGACGATCCCCAGGTGTCACCAGTAGGAGATACTCACCACTGCATGTTAGTCAACCTCAAACCCAACCGACTGGACATTCAGAAGAGGGCGGGAAGCATGTCTCCTAACTCGACCAATCACAGCGAGATTAGCCTGTCAGATGATGAGGATGGAGGTCATGTGATCAGTTCCTTCCCTCAGAGAATCACCACCACTAGAAGCATGTCAGCAATGGACACCCAGTGCTAAGAAAAAAGGAAATATTTGGAGGGACATGTTTTGTTGATAAAGAAGCAAGGTTGAATTATTTTGTATGCCTCTTGTTTATTTCTATTACCAGTCAATGAAATGGTGTAGGGATAACATTTAGCTTAACATTTTATCTTTGTAGAATTTTGTATAGAAGAAACATATATCTGATATTACTAAATGAGAGACATTTTTTGCCTTAAGAAGTAGATTCTCAGATTTTACAGAATACTTGTATACTATGTATGCCAGATTGTGTTCAGGACAGTTTGTTCATGTATGATTTATGAACTGTTAGTAATAAGTATGAATTGGGATTTTTGCTTTAATTAAATGCAGTGGATTTATATAATTATCTGATACCATAGGCATACATGTTAACCTATTGTGATGAAAAAGAGGGAGATTCAGACCTCAAAAGCGGTAGCATTGCGCGCGTGTTGTTTACGCTTGGATTATCGATATCTTTCATGCAATATACATGTATATTATAAGCCTTAAATGAAATCAGGTACCTACACTAATTAATCTTAATTATCAACAGCAAAGAAGAAGACAGAAACACCTTAAGTTTGACATAAATTGTACAAATTCAAATATTTTTCATGCTCATCATTTTGCTTGGATTGGCTGCTTTTCTTAGCCTTTTGAAGAGTGATCTTTGCTGAAATAGCCTAGAAGCAATAATTCTGAATGTTCATTCAGTTTTTAAACAAAACAAATGATGGCATGGTTTAATCTAGATCTAAAACAAGTTCGTATCTTTCGTTATGTAAATCAGATTTCCCGCGATAATCGAAAACGAAAGTAGAGATGTGCCACATTGAATGGTCAATCGAGTGATTTCTATTGACTTTATTGATAAAGTTGTGAGCTTCTGTGCTTTTAAAGACGATGTCAAATGTTTTCATCTAATTCTTAAAAGCTGTATCTCCTTTTTCATGGCAGGGATGTTGATTAATTTATCGTAACCAATGTAATCACTGCTAGTCTTATGTTGTTGTCGTTGTCAAATCCGTGCTTGAAATCTATGTACAAAAAAGCGTTTGTATGATTCCGAGTCAAATCACGCGATATCTAGCTTTTATGAGAGTGGCTTCGAAAATGGATACCCAAGCGAACCAAAAATACTTTAGATGAAGCTTTAGTAGAAAAGCGGTAGATTTCTGAATTAAATCGGTAGGCGGGAGATGGAGTGAAAAAGCGGTAGACTCCCGCCTAAATCGGGAGAGTTAACATGTATGCCATAGGCAGTTTCTGTGGTTTATTTTTGAGCTATTCAAGGCTTATAAACAATACCCATTTATTATATAGACTTGATTTGAATGGAGTTTAGATGTGAAATATCAGTTTGATGAAATCTTGAATAAAAACAATTTTTAATATGATTTGCAAAATGCTATTAAATTTTTACTTGATGCTTTGTCTTTATTTTTTTTTTATGTTTATGGTTTGGTTTCTATTGAGGGGATGTACAACAATAATTCCATGCTACAGGGTCAATACAGTACATGCATCTGTTACATTGAATGCACTTGTGAAGTATGACAGCTATAGCCCCAACTGTTCAAAAGTTATGACCAATGTCAAAGTCAAGGCAAAATCTTGCAAAAGGTGCGTTAGATCCCATGCAAGGTCAAGAGGTCAAATGTTCACCCCAAAGAAAGGCCCTGCATTTGTGAAATATGAATGTTTTAGTCCCAATCCCGATTTTAGATTTCTATGGACCCCATGGATACATGCAATGATCAAGTGCAGACATTTATTAAATGTCTTTGAATGAGATGAATACACCTTTCCTCTTTATAAATATTTATCTTGTTTCTATATGTTTATATGTGGGAAGACATGTATTAATATAACTGCCCTATGATTAACATAATCTAGTCATTCAAGATCTCTATACAAAAATGAATGAAAAGTTTCTTATGTGAATATGATGAAATATTTGGGGGTTAAAAATTTGCAAATAAGTAATGGTTTCGTAATTAAATTTTTAAATTGAGTAAAAAAGGTGAATATATAAAAATCGTATCTTATTTGCACTGATATACTCTCACAAAACTTGTATTTCCCAATTTTATTATAAAATTTTCCTCAATTATACCAGTGTCATCAAAGTAAACATAGGGCAATTTATTGCAATGTAATGGTTAGGGCCGTGGATATCGGCCTGGATAGCTCAGTTGGTAGAGCACCTGACTAGAGATACAGGGGTCCCGGGTTCGATTCCCGGTCCAGCCATACATTTTCTCCTTTCCTGTTACAGATTTGGTGCCGTTGACCACCCCTGGAATTGCAGGTGAAAGTCCTGCCAGGGACTAATAAGAACTTGGGTTGTGTCTTCGAGGGCGAAGACCATTTAAGGAGGGAGGAATGTAATGGTTAGGGCCGTGGATATCGGCCTGGATAGCTCAGTTGGTAGAGCACCTGACTAGAGATACAGGGGTCCCGGGTTCGATTCCCGGTCTAGCCATGCATTTTCTCCTTTCCTGTTACAGCAGAAAAAAATACATTGTGGTATTATGACAATGAAAAGAATCTGATAATGCACAGACATATAGGCAGTAGAGTACCTCTTGAACCTGCTTTTCAGTTATAAGATTTATACCTCTTTAATAATTTAAAAGTGTTATACATAAAATACCTGCATGAGGTATATAAAATCTAATTACGTTTTTTAAAAGCAGATAACAGTATAGGGCCTTGTATGAGGAATATTTAACGTTTACAATGCCCATATTCATATGTTTGCGACTAAGTGCAGATTCAAACCCTTATCCAGCAAGGTGAAAATCTTATAAAACTGTGAAAATCAATTACAGTAGATTGTTGATTCCAAAGAGCGATGGTTTAAATATGCCACTCCAAATATCACGGCTTAATAGATGAATAAAATTCCTCCCCAGCGGCCATTCATCTGCTTTTTTCTTCCCTCAGTTGGGTATTAAAGCTAGATAGTTCGATGAGCTTGATTTTGACCAATCGCTTATTTTCTATTTCATTTTTGTAACGCTGGTATGCACAGCAGAATAGTTTTAGTATAAACTGTATATTTGTAAGTGGTCAAACAAACCAGTTTGGAACTCGAAACTTTTATGAACAAATATGCATGGTACATGTACTTTCATGTGACAGAACGGAGTTTTAGCTATAAGAAATGACCTTTCATCAATTCTTATCATTTTGACGACGACCCCACCCATTCCACCCTCACATCCAAATACAGCAATGAAATAATGTCTAACAAAAAAAGGTTTACAGAATTTTTTTTTCGTGACACAAATGTGCAAGGAGTAAATGAAGTACTAGTGATGAACATACTAATTCTGCTTCTAAAAAAAGTTGCATGGGTATTTAATAATAGTAACTACAATGTATGACTGTTGATTTTCTTTTGTATACATGTATTGACTGACGTAAATTAAAGTACATGCATGTACTTTATACCGTTGAGTACCACACCTGCATTTATAAATTTCTTTCTGTTTGATCAATTTCTTTCTGCTACTTTATTTATTTTGTACGAAGTTGTAGGAGGACAAGCTTGTCACTATTAACAAAGACCGGTTATTCAAATTTTCTTTAAATAAAAACAACACACCTTACACGTGAAAATTATGAATGGAAATGCATTATGCTAATCTAACGTCATGCAACGCTTTTCAATTCCAGTGTATGAAATTTAGTTCAGCTATAATTTTTAACCTTTTGAGGATCACTATGGGTAAAAAATAATTAAGGTTTTCGATTTGAATGGACAAGAAAGAATGTGATTCAGAGTTAGTTTTCTCAATATTGGAACCACACAGGGGACTTGAAATTCAGGTCCAAATCACGTGACGGGCTGTCTCACCTGAACATTCCAATCTCCTCACAACAGCCTTTCCATCACAAACTGCCAACGGCGCGAGAATTTTCACATATCGACAAAATCAATCCTAAACCTGTTCATTACTTTATTTGTTGGCTAACTCCGCTAAGTACTGCATCGAAATTAGTTCTTAATTAATAAATTAATTGGATTTTTGACATGGGGAAACTTTTTGGAGCGGCCAGTTTGCCCATGATGGCATGTATTGCCCTCTTGGTCGGGGCAATATTTCAGATTCTGGGCTTCGCCGCGCCCTACTGGGCCTTTGATGGGACTTATGATGTTGGCCTCTGGAGATTGGCCCGATGTCAATTTAGTTACCATGTGCATTGTTACAGGGAGGACCATGTGGAGTATTTTACTTCAGGTATTTGACGTTAAATTTAATTTGAAAAATTACTCAATAAATCACCATTTTTCTTGTTAATGCTCCAGTTTGAATGTTCCGGATTCTCATGGGAATATTCAGCTTTTTTAAATATGACTAATTGCATGTTTCTAAATAACTAGCATATATGTAAATTTATTCTTAATATGCGTGTTTGTAACGTGTAACTTGTCAACGAAAGTCTCAAAGTAATCTATAAAAAATCGAAGCATCGATGCATATTTATTGACAAACAAAACATAAATGACAGAAACTAATGAGGAAAGAAAATCCCTTTGAATACTTGTATGTGGTTGTGGATGCAATCTTTTTAAATTATCTTGACGTACGGTAACAAATCTTTCATGTTGATGTCTGTATTCAAATGAATATTCAAAAAGTTAATATTTAAGACGGTACATAACCTTTCAAAAACTTACATAAAGATATAAGTGTCAACGCGCACCCATTGAAGGATCTGATCGATATTTTATAATTCTCATCAGATGCAGCTAGATTACACGTTTTTTATAGGAGCTAGTAAACTAAGAAATATCAATACTTCGGATCTTAAGTTTGTGTTTTTTTATTAAGATGTCAAACTTTTTTATCGCTGATTTTCGCACGGCGATAAGTTTATAACCTAGACCGGTCCTCGAAGAATAAAGGATACTGTCCACTAGAATCATTATGTCAATTTCCCGACTTTTAAAAATATCGTGTTGCCAATTAGCCAAGATTTTTCGTTAGAAAGTTCGGAGGTATTTGGCCGTTAAATTAGTGGAAAGATATTCATCAGTTCTCTCAGAGGTGACAAAGAGTGGACTGCTAAGTACTTACTACCAAGTGAAAAGGGGTCCATTTCTCAATTAACGAGTGAACCAATGCCTCAGAGAATACTAACATCCTAAGATACTGAAGATGTTGTAAATTATTGTCATCGAACCACAGACAAAACTCACCTTTTTTCTATTTTGATAGTATAATATGCACTACACGATATCAATAATATAAACCTTTTGTCTCTATATGCTGTGTGGCAACGCACTTTGAAAAAAATACGCACTTTGAAAAAATTTTTCAAAGTGCGTTAGCTTTGTCCCAAATTTAACACACTTTGAAATTTTTTTCAAAGTGCGTAATTTTTCAAAGTGCGTTGTAACAATGCTGTTTTTAAATACATGTATAGTATATCCTTTTCGACTGATATCGTTTTCGACTGATGCATATAAAGAGGGCCTTTGAGTCGACCTCAGATTTGCCTGTGGAATAAAATTTATATCTTCACACGCAGTTGTTATATATTTTTACACGGTACAAATATAAATGTATTTTCAGTGTGATACATGCATTTTCACATATTTTTATCATTGTCCTTTATTTTTTTTTTTACATTCTACCCTTACAATTACCAAAATCACGTTGATTTTTTTAATTTCAAAAAATTACTGAGTCTTATGTATCTTTTGTTTATCACTCATGGATCTACTGTAAATAATTTTTTTTATTCACGAAAACTTTATTTTCGGATTTATTATATATAAAATACGTCAAAAAAGTTGGCAATGGTTGAGGCAATATACAGATTGTTCAATTAATTAATACGTTTATATAAATGCGAGTTTAAAGCAATATGAGCTGCACTTTGGAGAAATTAATTTTGCTGTTAAAATATGCTTTTATGATAAATCTGTATGTACATGTAATTTAAACCTGATGAATCTGTATGTAACTTAAACCAATATATTTAATGAGATTGATATAAAAAATTATTCTTCTTTCTACAAAGGAAGGTAAAGTATTATATGTATTGTATAACAAATTAATATTGTACAGGACGACAATAAAGTAATTCTGCCTCAATCAAAGCATATAAATAGTTCTTCTGTCTAAAATATTTAGAGTAGAAGTTTATAAATGTTCTTTTTTCTGTCATTTAAATACTGTAGTTAATTACAATATTGCAACAAATCTGCAGCTCATATTGCTTTAAACTACAACGTGAAAAAATGACGCACAGTTAATGCATTCGCTGATCTATTTCTTTTCTTATTTTTTATCATTATTTTTAAACATGTCCATATAAAGTGTAATGCCTAGGCTTAGGCATAAATTACACAGTAAAACACCCAACAAACCCAACAAACTGGGATCAAAATTTGTCCTTGATATTACCTTTGCTTACATTTCCAAAAATTGTTGATTGTTTTGCACCAAAGTCCACTAACAGCCATAAAGCTAATGCAAGAATAACGAAGATGTATGCCTCATCGATATTTAAATACCATCACAGGTATTCAGATAAGAGGTTGCACCCAGGTAAATGCATTAAATAATAATTTCACGCCTGCTCACTCCATAATTAAATGAAAAAATGAAAGGCATTTTGTGCATCTTGGCATCATCATCTTCTCAAAGAAGCATTTTGTCAATCAAAATTAAATGCGAACATATAGCTGTGATAATACACTGGATCTTGTTTTATTTAGAAATTTCTTAATATATATGGAAACTCGTCTACCCACTCAAATTCTTTTATAAGTATAATTTAGTGTGATTCACTTACCATTCAATAGATCTGGGATATTTTTAATTTTAGGTATTAAACAAGTCTTCCTTTTCAGTCCTCACTATAAAAGTATTTTAGGAGTTATGGAACTTTGTGGTGGGAAATTCAAATATATCAGGGACACAACTGTAGCCTTGAGATTAGCTTTTATATATGTTTTGTAGATTGGCTGAAGGTAGTCCGAGCTTTTGAGAGTCTTGGAGTTATATTCATGGTGCTGCCACTCATTACGATCCCTGTATATATGTACATTTCCCTGGGTCTCTATTACAAGTTCATGATGACCTGCTCATGTATTTCTTCCCTTGTATCAGGTAAGGTTACCTATGTCTTTCGACATAGAATAAAATACTATATCTAGACAACAGACTCTTCAATATAAAATAAGCAAAAGATTATTTTTAAGTGTCATAGTATAGGATTGAATAAATTTAAAGACTATGTTCAAACAAAATACACATGTACTAAATTTATTTTTTGATGCTAATGATAAACTTTAATATGTGTTGATTTAAGAAACAAGTAAAAAGTTCTCAACATTCAACATACCCCTGGTATTTTTTTTTTAAATTAAGAACATGGCATGTATATTTCTTTTTTAAATAAAAGCAAGTAAAAAAAAATTTCATAAATCAAACATAATCTTAATCAAGTGTGTGATATGTATTTATTTTTTTTTACAGCTGTGAGTATCATCATTGGTGTGTCTGTCTACTCCGTCAATGTAACACTGAATGAGTGGAACATATCGTGGTGTCTCTATGTCTGTATTGTGGCGTTTGTTGCCACACTGTTAGCCTTCCTCATCTTTATTGTGGCTGCCTTTAGCAAACGACCACCTGAGCTCAAACAGATCATGATACCTGACCACTCCACACTGCACGTCCATCCAACAAAACCCAGATTTGTTATGATAGCAGATTATTCATATCCTGCATAGGCATGAAAGTTAGAGCATCATAGTAAAAAAAAAATTCTCATGGAAAGACAAAAATGTAGCTAACATTGTGTTCTAGGAAATTTGAGATCCAGTCTAGACCTTGACCAATGAGTGGTCTTAAAAAAGTAAATGCTTGTCTAAACTAGATTGTATTTACTGGAGTGATACATTTATGTAAATTTTCTTCTGTGGACATTTTATATAAATTTTCTTCGTTGTGAAGAGTAACAAAAACTTTAACCTTGCTCATAACTTTTGATTTAAATTACACATGCATATTCCTTGTGACAAGACCTTTCTGCAAATTTGACTGACCTTGACCTTGTTACACAAAAATTAAAAACTTTTACTTTGGCCATATCTTTTGAATGGTAGAAACTCTTCACACTTCGCATGTGTATTTTTTGCAAGGCCTTTCATTGGAACATTTTGAACTTTTGACCTTTAAAAATAAAAAACTTTAACCTTGAAAATAACTTTTGAACGGTAACGGCTATTGCTTTCATATTTCACATATGTATTTTTATGAATATTTTCATGAAAAAGATACAAAAGGAATATAAACAACTCATGAATAATGCAAGCATATGAATTAAGTCACTGTTAAAGCATTTGTTGTACATGTACTTTTTAGAGTTATTGCATAAATGTCTGACATTAGCCTAAAAATGATCAATCAGTTCTTGTTGAGTCATAATGGTCCCATACTGAGTATTTTTGTGTTCCTATATTTCTGCTGGTTGTTTCAGAAGGGACCTGGGTACACTACTGCTTAACACATCTCCATTGCTGTTCCATATCTTGTACTCGGCTGATAAATATTCATGAACTGAAATTAAAATTTTCATGAACTCATTTGCATATCATGCACATTACAGATTCACTGACAAAAAATGTTTTTATATATACATTACCAATAGGGCTGGGACGATACAATTTTTTCTATATCGATACATATCACGATATTTGAGCCACGATACGATATGTATCACAATATGTTTAATTGCTTATAAAATCTGTTTTTGCAGTGAAATAAACGGATAATTTCTTTGCAAATAAGAATAATTTATTCAAAATAGTTGTTCATATGTTGTAAAACAAAAATATTTTACTCAAATGGTGTAAATTATTATTTATTTCATATCTATATTTATATTTATCTTATTTACTTTACATATTAAACCCCAATTGTTAAATAAACAAAGAAAAACAGAAGTCAGATTTTTTTGGGCGATATTTGCATTTCTTGCAAATGTACAGATTCAATGACAAAAAATGTTTTTAAAAAATATATATACAGCCCTAATTACCAAAAGGATTCTTAATTGTAAAATATATGAATTATTACAAAGAAATACACTTTTTGAAAATATATACTCTGAAAAATGAAATTATAAATTATTCATAAAGCTTTAGTGAAAGTCAGGGCATGGAAATGTGACTAGATTGTTATTTGTTATTTATCCATACCTGTGTTAAGTTTGAACTTGGTGCTGGGAGAGACTTGTATTGACTTGGAGTCTATGCAACGCCCTGACTGGGTAAAGTCAGAAATCTTGAAATACAGCTGTGGAAAAGCATGCACAAATGACAATGTCAGATTAAAATATAGATTTAATTTTTGTATATGTAAATAGTGCCATTTGTATGTATATAGAAAATTATTTATGCTATTTTATCATAAAATAAAATAATTTTCAACAAACTGTGCATAGGCATTTTTACTTTCATATTTACATATATGTTATGTTTAATAAAAGTATGATATTAATACACAAGTGTGCATAAAGGCAAAATTTTGAGTTATTTTTTATGTCATAAAAGTATAATATTCTAACATACCTGTGCATAGGCATTTTGACCTTTACAGAAAGGATCATCAAATGAGCTTGCAGACTTGGCTTCTGAGAATATGACTGTTGCTTCCAAGTTTGCAGTTAGGGATTTTGAAAATTTCTGACCTTTAAGAGGAAATTAAAAATCAGTTTTCAATTAACATGGCAAAAATGCATCTGCAAATCAGATAATACACTTTTAAGGTTGTATTCTAGTACATTGAATTTGCATTATTTAACTTGTTTTAATATAGTTGCCAGGGCATAACGATAGTAAACATTTTTGCATAAAAGGCGAAGCCCGTTATATAAATTATCCCATGGAATTTGGATTTATACTATTTAACTGCAGAATTCCTTATATATCTATTTCATTGTGAAATAAAATTGTAGATTTAGACTTTAAAAATGTAGACATAGATTTAAATTACACGAGAACTCCCATGCCAATTTCATTAGTCGACGCCCACTGACGTTAAAGACAAAGGCAGCAACACGAGATTTACATGCATATTTGGCCTCCTAAGCGTCAGAGACAGATGCGCACGAGATTTGCATGCATATTAGGCCTCCTTAGCTCCTAACCTATCAACCTGCCTAATTTACATTCCGGTAGAATTTTGAAGAAATCAGCTCTGTTAACTTTCAAAGGGCTATCACAGAGAAAAAAATTAGAAACGGAAATATTAAGCAATTCACTTTTAAATTTTCAGAAGCTATTACTAATATTTGTGAAAAATTAAAGTATAAATTGGAATTTGGATTGCTCATTTAAAGTTTATGCAGACCAGCATCAATTTTTTACTGTAAACGTACTTTATTCCACGGGGTCATAATTCTGCAGAAACACAATATCTTTTCAATCTGCTAGTATAAAATAATTTAATTATTCAGATATCTTGAATTGTTGTTTTATGTCCCTAATGAATTTTTAGTATGCTGTGACAAATTTTCACAGAAAAATTTTGATCAGATACATAGCAGAAATGCATCCCATGCGGAAAAAGTATGTCTTCAGTATTAGATGAACAACTTGAAACATCCTTGCATCGGCTTTCTTTTAGTAAAGACATGTATATTGCCTTGATTAAGCAGACTTACCAATGTTCCAAACTAGAATTTTTTTATCTGGAGAAACAAGTGTGTTTCCTTGGTTGACAGAGGAGTCCTGGCTAGAAATCACACCCCTATAATGGAAAAACTAATATTGTATTTGTCGGACAGAATTAAAGTTACTTCAATGGTAATCTTATACAGTAAAACATTGTCATATTCCAGCTCCAATATGCTAAGGTTGCTCCATTCTAGTACATGTATACTATAACATTATTATTTTTTATTTTTAATTCCTTTTCAGATGTAAATCACAATTATAGGCCAAGTCTTTGGTATCACGAACATTGATATCTCAAATATCTATTCTATTCTAGGCCCCACCAAGTTCAGTTCAAGATACCATTTGATTGAATATATACCGGTATGTCAGAATGTTAATCTTTGTTGATGGTTATCATAGTTTTTGGCCAGAAGTCCCTGTTTGCTCTGCTCCGGATTTTTATTACATATGTATTTTAATGGACTATTGAGCCTGATTACTATTCTTTATCTCCATATTTCCTACCTATTATGAAATGGAATCTGCATCTCACAATACTCAAAAGCATTCCTCACCCCGTCACTCAGTGTTAGCTGTACTGTTAGTGAAGCTCTGTTGTCTGTCATCTGCAGGAGAGTCAATTAAGGGGAGATAAATTGTGTAGCTACTTACATTATAATGTATGCTTATGTGTGAAAAATGACAAAAATAAGATCAGTTTCAAATAATTAGGAATTGTATTGCGTACATTTATATCCGCAGTTATCTTGAACATTATTAGGGTTAAATATATTGATTTAAACATAACAGTAGTTGTATTATAATGATCAAACCTTCATATCATATACAGCTTTGATGGGGGGTTCCTTTAGCCCTATGGCAGTATAGTGACACAGGGTGAACATTTCAGTGGGAGGGGTAAATCGGATTCTCCTGGGTAATGCTTTGGTCTCCCCTTGATAAAGGTAAACACAAAGGTCGATCATTATTGACTACATGCACTTTACCGAAATTGAAAAGTTTATTGCAGGTCAGATAAAGATCAAAGGCATTTTGAAATTTTCTAAAACAATCACAATGCAAAGTTTTTAGTAATTTTCTGAATATTTCTTAATGTGTACCTTTTTGAAGCATGGAGCAGTCTGCACTTTGAACACATGGGTGGATCAAAAGGTTGTCCACGGGTAAGGCTGATTCCTGAGAGTTGTAGGCCAGGTTAATGGTGATGTCTGACAGCGCCACCTCCAGTTCTGATTTACAGGTCACTGTGCCATAGAGGTCAAAAGTGTCAGCAATATTCTCTTTGTTAAACTTGAAAAAAATAAATTATTTTTATATTTGAAAGTGGTTTAATAAAATCTAAACATGCACAACAATGGACTATTTTTTATCATTCTAAAAGACTTTTTAATTATTAACAACTTAACAGTGAATTAAAAAAGTAATGTTTGGTATTCCGGCAGTATGATACATACTTGTCTATCAATGTCATGAAACAATTTGTAATAGCAGTATGATACATGCTTGAAACTCTAATACACTCAGTGAAGATAAAGCAAGTGTGCCAGTTTGATACATACCTGCACTGCCCTGACATATTCTGTGAGGGCTAGATAAAGAGTATTCTTCCCTTTATGGAGCACAGGCTTCCAAGAAGGTTGCTAAAACAAATTAAAAAAAATCTCATGTTCTCCTTGATGTTAACTTATCATTCTTTATGTCATAACATCATGTTTATTTATACATTACAAAACTTTAATGTAGAAACCATCAATAATGAGAAAGAAAGGATATTTATTGTTATATACCCAAGATTTTTTTCCAGGTGAAGTTAAGAATTCTGAATGATTGTACCGGTATATTAAAACAAAAAAACATATTTTTCAATGATTTCTGTAAATTATTTATCTTATACTTTTATTAGAAGCATTAAGTTAAAAGATACATGTATACGGAAGATATTTAACATTTAATTATTTAAAGCATAAAAAGTTGATTTCAAGAATGTACCCAAAGCAATTTAATATATGGAGAAGGGAGACAGCTCTCTGTTAGAAATGGATTACATACATTCAAATGATTGTGAGTACAAAGCAGTCTTACTTTCTGTGCCCTAGGGAGGTAGCTTGGTTTATTGTACATTTTGGCCATCACAGTATCACAGTTAACATCAGATATTCTCCCAAAAGGAACTGCTGTATTCAGGTAGAGATGAATGTCTGCACTTTTTTGAGGAACCTAAAAAGTATGTTTCGATATTGAATCCTTCATTGAATAAAAAGAGCATTTATAAAATGCTCTTTAAGATGTTTTTTTTTTTTTTTAAAAATTGGACTACCGGTGTCATATAATATATTGAACCCCGCGATATTTTGAACCCGGGTTCAAAATATCGCTGCGAAATATTGAACCCCCCTATAAAATATTGAACCCGGGGTTCAAAATATTATGGCCATAAAATATTGAGTCCCCCTGCCCTTTAAATTTAAGAGGGAGGGGGTTCAAAATATTATGGCCATAAAATATCGAGTCCCCCTGCCCATTTAATTTTACAGGGAGGGGGGTTCAAAATATTATGGCCATAAAATATTGAGTCCCCCTGCCCTTTAAATTTAAGATGGAGGGGGTTCAAAATATTATGGCCATAAAATATCGAGTCCCCTGTCCATTTAATTCATGAGGGAGGGGGTTCAAAATATTATGGCCATAAAATATTGAACCCCCCCTGTCCTTTTAATTTAAGAGGGAGGGGGTTCAAAATATTATGGCCATAAAATATCGAGTCCCCCTGCCCATTTAATTTTACAGGGAGGGGGGTTCAAAATATTATGGCCATAAAATATTGAGTCCCCCTGCCCTTTAAATTTAAGAGGGAGGGGGTTCAAAATATTATGGCCATAAAATATCGAGTCCCCCTGCCCATTTAATTTTACAGGGAGGGGGGTTCAAAATATTATGGCCATAAAATATTGAACCCCCCTGTCCTTTTAATTTAAGAGGGAGGGGGTTCAAAATATTATGGCCATAAAATATCGAGTCCCCCTGCCCATTTAATTTTACAGGGAGGGGGGTTCAAAATATTATGGCCATAAAATATTGAGTCCCCCTGCCCTTTAAATCTAAGATGGAGGGGGTTCAAAATATTATGGCCATAAAATATCGAGTCCCCCTGCCGATTTAATTTTACAGGGAGGGGGGTTCAAAATATTATGGCCATAAAATATTGAGTCCCCCTGCCCTTTAAATTTAAGAGGGAGAGGGTTCAAAATATTATGGCCATAAAATATCGAGTCCCCCTGCCATTTAAATTTATGAGGGAGGGGGTTCAAAATATTATGGCCATAAAATATCGAGTCCCCCTGTCCATTTAATTTATGAGGGAGGGGGTTCAAAATATTATGGCCATAAAATATTGAGTCCCCCTGCCCTTTAAATCTAAGAGGGAGGGGGTTCAAAATATTATGGCCATAAAATATTGAGTCCCCCTGCCCTTTAAAATTAAATGGGAGGGGGTTCCAAATATTATGGCCATAAAATAATGAGTCCCCCTGCCCATTTAATTTTACAGCGAGGGGGTTCCAAATATTATGGCCATAAAATATCGAGTCCCCCATCCATTTAATTTTACAGGGATGGGGGCTTAAAATATTATGGCTCATATATTATTCAGTCACCCTATTGAACTGTTTTGAAAAGGGAGTGAGGATAAAATATGCCTGCAAATAATCTAAAATCCTTCTCCCACTTACACACTTCCACTACTTGAGAGTAGGGTATCTTTATTATAAAACTTTTTTTTCATATACATGCAATTCTTAAAGAATTGAGGGTAGGATAATATAATCATAATATTGAAGTGTACAATTGTTACAAAGGAAATAATTTTTTTTTTTACTATTAAACCCACAATATTCTACATCAAATAACTATAATTATACACATGTATCATGATGAATCTCATAAGGTATTTATTCATTTTTATTTAATTGTATATACATGTAATTAACAATTTGATAAAGGAAATTTTAAGGAACAATGCTATTGAATAAGAAAGGTATCTCTCCATTGAGGAGGTAACAGGGGTATAGCACCTGTGTATTGTGTGTACACAGGGAGGTGTCATAGGAGGTCAACATAGGAGGTCAACAATCCCCACTGTCTTGTTGCTTCCCCTTTGTGGTTTCTATATTATGCAATACAGTGTTTTGAGAGTGCACTGATAGGGTAGCCCAGATTGAGGGGTGGTTAACTTACATACAACATTCGGGTGTTTAAATAGAGTTAAATAGAGTTAATTAAGGATGTACAACACACCTACCCCAAAAAATTCCTGTCGTTTAATTTTCGTTATTTTTGTATATTTAGTACATGACTATATCTACTGCATATATGCACATTTTGGACAAAATCGTTCGAGTGGTTTTTGGACAGGAACTTCCAAAAGTTACCCCCCTTTAGTTGTTTACAAAGAGAGAAAATTTTTAATCAATGAACTACTTAAACCTTGATTTTCAAAAAAGCCAGGTTAGATATAAATATCAAATTTCATTGGCTTATTCCTTTAACCATTTAACACAATAACATAGTCATCTTTTTGATATACATATCATTAAAATAATTTTTAAAGACCTTAAACTGAAAAACTATGAATTATCTAAGCCTTGAAAATTGCGTATTTTTCAAATTCAAAATTTTTTTGTGAAAAAACCTGTCGTTTAATTTTAGTAAAAAACTTTCTTTAGGTAGCTGGTAGTAAAAATAATCTTCATAATTTTTTGTATAATTTTTGTACGACCAGTTTTGATTTAATAGCGGAAAATTACCCCCTCCCCCTTTCTCAATAAATCACGTTCCCGCGCGTATTTCAGACGGGGGTCGATCACTTTGTTATATGAATCTACAAATACACATTAAAAAAATTAAATTGGAATATTGCTTTTGCTTCAGAAATATATTAACTTACAAATTTAAAAGTTCTCATATGTAAAGCGTATTTAAATGTAGATTTTTAGGCAATTTTTGAATACCCCTATCACCCCCACCCCTTCCTTTTTTGCGTCGCAGACCATTAGCGTTTGACGAAACGTCGTTTACAGTGCAAATATACTGGTATTTCGTCATTTGAATCCCGCAGGTATGAATTAGTTTTTAAATTCATGAATGCATAATAAATATTGACTACTCTTTTTATATGTATCAGGAAAAAATTACTGAAGGATTTTAGTGTTTAGTCCATATATGTATGCGTTATGCGTTCCATATCACATGAAACCTGGATACGAATTCAAGTTTTGTTGAACTTGAATATGTTGATTTTTAATTTTATTTCTTTAATTTTATTCATTAAAAAATGGTGTATATTCAACTCTCCGTTGATATAAATGGAATAATTGTAGTTTCTTTCATGTCATTATTTCAAACGAGACAGTATGTGGCCGTGGGGATACATCGACATTTGCATAGATGTACACCCCTCATGATATTGTACGCATTTCTTTCAATGTCGTCACTTCTAAAGTTAAAATGAAAATTCCGTATTCGTCCACATTAACTTCAAAATATCAAACATTAAACTCTTCCTCTATTTCAATTTATATCAAATCACACTTTGATATTTTTTAAAATCTCATAGGCTACGTTTTGTTTTGGTTCGAGGAAATGCGAACCGACATTGTTGACAGAAAGTCAAACGATTTGCTGCAATAGGATATTCATAAATGCAGATAATTTCAGTACAAGTGAACAATTCTTTTCAATTCTATACTTACATTGTGTATAATGAGGTCTATAGTATTCAATTCTCGGATTTATCAAGTCTTGCTGTAAATGTATCTGATTCTGTGGAAAACCGTGAATAAAGGGAGGAAAATAAACATCTCCTACATTTTCAGAGTTGTTCCTCTTTGATCAGTAAGGGTCTGAGAACAATCATCGATTTTACATTGTAAAAAGGTTCTTTTTTTTTTTATTGTTTTATTTAATTAAAGAAGAAAAACAATATTTATATCGTAAATGCACAAATTGTAATGAAGACCATTAATCGGAATGTTATATAGCCAATTGTACATAATGAGAATTTCGGCAATGTAAAATAAAATTTTCAGAATAAAAAAAAATGCTGCGCTTTGATCAAAAATACACTTTATTGTATATGAAATGAAATGAAATAAACATTAAGGGGTGGTATTTTATGTTTTGCTTTTTACGGAGTTTAATCGGGTTAATTAAAAAATACTTATTGATTGAGTATGGTACGCACAATCACAGCTCAGCCCCATATCCCAATTTTCTTTCATGATTGATATACATCGGGATCGTTTTACTCGTCGTTTTGACGCTTTATTTTTGACGTTAAATTTGACGTCACGTCAAACGTTCAATTGAAATCGCAAGAGTTATCTCCCCCAGTGTGTTGTACGTCTTTAAAGCAATAGTAATCATTACAACGTCATCCTCAAGAAGAGATGGAGATATTTTGAACCCCCCTCCCTCTTAAATCAGAAGGGCAGGGGGGTTCAATATTTTATGGCCATAATATTTTGAACCCCCCTCCCGGTAAAATTTAAAGGGTAAGGGGACTCGATATTTTATGGCCATAATATTTTGAACCCCCTCCCACATCAATTAAAAGGGCAGGGGGACTCAATATTTTATGGCCATATTTTGAACCCCCTCCCACATCAATTTAAAGGGCAGGGGGACTCCATATTTTATGGCCATAATATTTTGAACCCCCCTCCCTCTTAAATCAGAAGGGCAGGGGGGTTCAATATTTTATGGCCATAATATTTTGAACCCTCCTCCCTTCAAAATAAAAAAGGGCAGGGGGTTCAATATTTTATGGCCATAATATTTTGAACCCCCTCCCTTTAAAATTAATAAGGGCATGGGGACTCGATATTTTATGGCCATAATATTTTGAACCCCACTCCCTCTAAAATTTAAAAGGGCAGGGGGGTTCAATATTTTATGGCCATAATATTTTGAACCCCCTCCCTCTAAAATTAAAAAGGGCAGGGGGATTCGATATTTTATGGCCATAATATTTTGAACCCCCTCCCACATCAATTAAAAGGGCAGGGGGACTCAATATTTTATGGCCATATTTTGAACCCCCTCCCACATCAATTTAAAGGGCAGGGGGACTCCATATTTTATGGCCATAATATTTTGAACCCCCCTCCCTCTTAAATCAGAAGGGCAGGGGGGTTCAATATTTTATGGCCATAATATTTTGAACCCCCCTCCCTTCAAAATAAAAAAGGGCAGGGGGTTCAATATTTTATGGCCATAATATTTTGAACCCCCTCCCTCTAAAATTAAAAAGGGCAGGGGGATTCGATATTTTATGGCCATAATATTTTGAACCCCCTCCCACATCAATTAAAAGGGCAGGGGGACTCAATATTTTATGGCCATGATATTTTGAACCCCCTCCCACATCAATTAAAAGGGTAGGGGGACACGATATTTTATGGCCATAATATTTTGAACCCCCCTCCCTCTTAAATCAGAAGGGCAGGGGGGTTCAATATTTTATGGCCATAATATTTTGAACCCCCTCCCTCTAAAATTAAAAAGGGCAGGGGGTTCAATATTTTATGGCCATAATATTTTGAACCCCCTCCCTCCAAAAATTAAAAAGGGCAGGGGGACTCAATATTTTATGGCCATAATATTTTGAACCCCCTCCATCATCAATTTAAAGGACAGGGGGATTCGATATTTTATGGCCATAATATTTTGAACCCCCCTCCCTGTAAAATTAAATGGGCAGGGGGACTCAATATTTTATGGCCATAATATTTTGAACCCCTACCTCTTTAATGAAAAAGGTAGGGGTTCAATATTTTATAAGGGGGTTCAATATATCGCAGCGAAAAAGTGAACCCGGGTTCAAAATATTATGCGATATTTCGAACCCGGGTTCAATATATCGCGGTATCAAAATATTATGCTACACCGGTTTGAAGATTTCTTTTAAAATACTGTGAAATTATATCTGAAATTTGGTACAACCAAAATGATAGTTTCTTCACATGTGTAATTTTTCATAAACATTCATTAGTTTACTGTTTTGAATTATTTAAGAAATAAACAACGTTATTTAGTGAACATGGCGTTATGAATAGCAATTGCTCTGCTGGCATATTCCATGATGCGCGCTAGCGCATCATGGAAAATATGCCAGCAGAGCTATTGCTATTCATTACGCCATGTTCACTAAATAATCGCTGTTTATTACTTATATTTGCATTCTTTGATGTTGTCAAGAATATCAGAGGAAATCCTGACTTACATAAGGACGCAGCTTCTTCTGTCTTCAGTAAAGAAAACCATACAGCTTTAAAATCAGTACACCTGATCAATACCCCTTTTCTCTAATAAATCACAATTTATAAAGTATTTCCCTCTCAAACACAGTTATCAGGATACAAGCAGCGCCATCATCCCATTCTCTTAATTTTTGTTTTGATGCAGTCGTGACGTCATCAATCAACGTTATTGAAATCCTCTGACAAAAATCAATAATTTAACACTATGATAAAAATGAGAATGCTTTTATAATGATTATTACTCCAGTATGCTTTTCTGTGATTTTTTGGTACGTTTTCTATTTATTTTTTCTTGAAATAGATATACTAGTTTAAAAAATTCTCTTTCTGAATGTTATTACCCAAGTGTGAAGAGTTATCGTTCTTTGTACAAGTATGCATGATACAAAAAAAAAAAAATATGGAGTTTTATTCAATTTTTAAAAAGTTTTATATTACAATTAAATACATTGACCAAAATTAAATTTTTAAAGATATAAAACAGCAAATTTAAATTGTTCTGAATTCTTTTTTTCCAAAAAATATTATTAAAAACTTATATTTAGTCCTTTTACGAAACATTTCATATATATACTTCTCAACACAGTACATAAGTGTAGTAGACCTCGTTCTACACGAGTGAGTTAGAGCAATTGCACTCATAGCAAAAGCAGTTGCGTTTATAGTCATGTAAACGCATTTGATGGATACATGTTCACAGTGGGAGAGAGCAGTGGATATGCAAATATTCAAATGTGACTGTATCTTTGGAAAATTCTTTATCTGAAAAAGTAAAAATGTTACCTCATTGGGAGGGCATTGTCGGAGGAAATCTGCCAATCCACAGAGTAAAGAAAACCCCAGAGAAACTCCAGGTCTGTGAAAGACAATGTCAGTCTATAGCATGATACATTTCTGAAATATTTATAATATTAGGCTGTTTAAAGTTAATTCTACGTTTAACGTCACATCTAAAGTTCAAAACCTACGAGGGAGGGAGGAAAAAAATAAACAAACAAAATTTTCAAACAATTGTGAATTTATTCAAACTAACCTATTCACTACATTAAAAACATTACAATTAAGTAACAAAGAGCATTTAATTGATATGACACCTAAGATTAATTTCCATAGCAGATTTTTTTCTTAGTTTGTAAATCAGTTTGAGTCCTATTGTTAGCAAACAATGTATTCTAAGACTGAATGTGCAGGAAAGTGACTTTTAACTAGGCCTCAATTGTCCTTTGGATTTATATTGCCACACATCCATGGTACCCTGGAGGAAAATGCTTCTTCTTATGGGAATAGTTGATCAATATCTACAATTAAAATTATTGATGACAATATTTAAAACTGTTCATGTTGAAATATCTCAAATTGAATTATGCCGTATTTTTTCTTAGTACTAAATCTACCAGTATTAAATTTTGAAAGTGTGAATACTAATATCTGGACCATAATGATAGCTGTTAGATTATTTTTAATACCTTGAATTCCACACTAAGGACAGGATTCTTCACGTCTTGGAATACTTCAACTTCTTTCCTTACTCTCCTTCACTTGAAAGGCCCTATCTTCGGTAACCTTCTCCCTGCCAAATGGTTACGACAAGTATTATCTTTTCCAAAAATTGTAGCTTTTTGTAGGTACATGAATTATGAAGAAATCAATTACTTTACTCATTACTGTTCCTTTCGATTTTTACAGAAATATTTTGAATATGAAACATATCAAATAAGATTTGAATGATGCTTTTCACTGTATATAGATCTTGGTTTTTGACACACTTTCCACTCGGTAAAAAAGTTTTTCGATTCTCTCCAAAATACAATGAAAATTTCAGCCAATAGAATCACGAACTGAGAGTCTGTCACTGTCAGTTTGAACCTGTGATTCGAAGACTGACAAAACACTCAGCAAACTTGACTTTGTCATTAACTTAATCATAAAATCGTCTTTTTCTTACTTACATTTATGATCCCAAACTCTTTAATTCACTAGTTTTCTTCAATAATTAAGACACCAACTCGGCAAAGCACATTTTCTGTCACTACGGGAAGCAGAATTCAGTTGCTAATTGTAGAACCAAACCGGAACAGACATACAGAATTCCGAATTGTTTGTTTTTTTCAAAGACGAATTTCTCATAAACCTACGCGCGCGGGTGACGTTAAACGTAGTTTTAATTTTAAACAGCCTTATATAAAATGATAACAGTTGCATAACTTACATCTGTATGAGATTTGGTCTGGTTGACAGGTTTTCTTGGACCAATGGAAGACAGCAAAAGAGAAGCCCCCTCTGATAAATGGTAATAAAGACAGTGATTCAACACACAGTTAAACATTCTTATTGCAAAGTGCTAAGGATAATCAGTTTTGACTTATTATAAGGTGTATCAGTATTTGTATGATCAATACTGATATCTCATATCCTGGCATCCAAACAAGACAAAATTATATATTGTGAAGATTCATGGTTTTGATGGAATGCATTTCTATAGCCAAGGTAATATAGCTGCACATTATCCATATAGGGAAAATGATGATACATTGTTAAATATTCTATGTGACAGTCAAATATTCTTCTTTAAGAACAACAAATTGTTTGCATTATACCTGTTCCACCACCACCAGCGGCCATATTGTTCCTGTTGATGTGGTCACCTCAAACACTGGCTTCCTGTCCACCCTCTGACACGTGTCTCGTGACTGTATGAACTACAAAGTAGATATATAATCTTTATTTCTAGGCTTTCTATTTTATCTGAATATGTATTGTAATTGCTCAGCAGTAAGATAATTTAAGAATTTCAAGAGATCTTGAATGAATTTTGCCTGAAATGAGTCCCATAAGGGGAATAACTCTTCAAACAGATTATCACATTTGCAAAAATTATGATAATTTCTTCAAACTTAAATCCACTTTGAATATTTCAATGCTGTGTTTAATGACAAGTAATTTCATAGTGCAGCATGGGTATAATAAATACCTTTTCTTCATCTCTGTATCCTAGCTCGAATAGAAGAGCATTAGAAAATTCTGTAGGGTTTGGCAATGAAACATAGTCTTCTCCATTCACTAGCTTAGCTTTCTTCTCAATGAGAGGATAGTGTCTAAAAAAATGTTTTAAAAAGTAGAGAGATTAACCAGGGGCCTATAAACTAACTATACTTTATTAGTATACAGGTCCCTGAATTAGTTCAGTAGTTACATCTTGATTTAGCATTGTTTATAACGTACAGTTTACAGTACTGTACAGGGGATTAATTTCACGGGTTGTAATTTTCAAGTTTTTCTCTCATCTGACACGATTGCGGTTTCTTGAATTCGCCGAATTTTTATGTATAATAAAAGTTACCTCCCTTGTCTGTATACATTTAATCCATACCATAGCTACATCTAAACGACATTAATCAGCGTAGTGTCTTTATTTCACGAACAACGGGGTTGGTTAATATAAAATTGTTAGACATAAAAAATACATGTAATTGACTTAATTAATTAAAACAAGTACAGTTTTCAAACGTCGTTGACTGTAAACGCAAATGACTTTCCTATATTATGCTATTACGATGAGTTCATGTACACTCTAAGATCTTCAATACAACGCGGCGAAAACCACTGGACAGTAATAAATGTATTAATGTAGTCCGACGATCGAAATAATATCCTTCCACATCTTCAGTAAGTTCGATATTCATTTGAATGATTTTAAAAACAAATTTTCGATAAAAATTAATATGCATGATAATGCAGGTAACAAATACACGTGGTAACATTAGTTTCGCACGGGTAATCAAAACCCATGGTCCACGTGTTTTGATTGAGGAAACATGTAGCGTTGGCTATTAAAACAGCTTTTTAACAAATACATTTTATGATCTGCCAATTGGAATTAAAGTAAAGCTTGATAATTAAAATAATTAAATGACAAATACTACTCGTAATTACTGAAATGGCCATGAACTGCACGTACATAAACCGACCGTAGTCTATATATTCTCAAATTTCCAAATAAAACATGGAGATTATTGAAAATTTATTCACTGTTTCTTGAATTCACGGATTTATCAACACCGTGAATGTAGCGAATATTAACACCGCGAGTTATTTTCCCCCTATACAGTATATACTCGCCTATAAGTCGGTATTTTGGGAGTTCAAATTTAGTCAAAGAGTCTACGTCCAACCTATAGGCGAGTCATTAAAAGACTAATATTTTTCTGGATGGCAAATCGTAGTATTCTACAAACATTTCCAACAGCTATCGCTGAACAAAGCCTGCATATATTAAATCATTTATGTATTATAATACTATACATGTGTTTATAATTTTATTTTTTTTAATCTTAAGAGGGCATTATTCTTTTCTTTAAATTTAAAAATAAATATAGACTTCATTTCTCAAAATATTCATTAAAATCAGGTTAAAACATCAGAGCATTTACTAGAAATTGTCATCTCATTCTTGCAAAAATTGAACCGACTTATAAGCGGGTCAATGGCAAATTCTTGCCATATAAGCTAAAAAAATACAACCGACTTATAGGCGGACCGACTTATAGGCGAATATATACGGCAATAAAATTCTTTAGGAGTTCCTTATTGACTTGAAAGAGTAAAAGTTAACTAAGAAAGGGGCCTCTAAAAATTTATTAGTTCTATTTCGTCTGTTTGTCTGTATTGAATATGGAATGGCAAGAGACACAAGTCTCTGGAATGGCCTATGGTTAACGCCCCTTTTTTTCCTCCTGAAAAGATTCTTATGGCAGTTTGAGCAGATAACACATAAAGAATTTTGCAATACCTTAATAAAATGCTGTTTTGCAATAAATCAGTATTAGTATGCCGTACTATTGGAACAATCCATAATGCTCGAATGCTCATGTCAACTTCTGCGATTGCGAAAGTAAAGTGTTCCGAGGGATTACGAAAGAAATGAAGTGTACTTTCATTTTCATTATTTAAAGATTTATATAACATGCACTCATTTCATGCATTTAAATATTTATCAATCATCATTATTCTTAATAAGCTTTATATTCGTGTCATAATTTACTTTGTTAGCTTGTATTACAGAAATCTTTTTTTCTCAGATTTAAAGGGCCTACCACACGCCCACGAGGAGTTCCGGATCGACTTGTTTAGGCAAGCAACGAGGTCGTAGTATTTCGCAGTAGTCCTATTTATATCAGGAAGTTTTATTATCAGTGTATACGTGACTACTTCCATGACTAGGTAGCCACGTTAGCTGGAAGGGGAAATGCCGAAGAAGGAGGATTCGGCAAAGCCCTCTGGCCCCGACCCAGGGGGCGACGGGGAGACGGAATTAAGAAATCGAAAACAAGGTCGACAAAAACCTAAAGCAGAGCAAGCAAAAAATAGAGAGCAAACAGGACAAGACACGCCAAGTGCACAAGGGTCACAAGCACCACCGCAACAGCAACCTCTGCCGCAACAAGTGCCATACCAACAACCTGATGTTATCTACATTCCTGCCAACAGGATCATATTTGCCATACCCAAGTGGATATGTTATCCTGTCTTGGTGATTTTAGCCATTGGCTTTATTGCCTTGGGAGGGTATGTTGGAGACAGGGTGTGGAAGTATTACTATGGCATTGCCCCATGGGATCCTGAGTCGGGACTTAAAAGTGTCATTGGTGAGGCAGGGGTGGACTTTTTCCGTCAGTATGACCGAGATATGGACGGAAAGCTGTCTCTGGAGGAATATGAGGCTATGTACTACAGGCTGCTAGGAGATGGTGTAAATGTAAGGAGAGCAATATTGTAGCATAATATATTTACCACATATATTAAATTTAATATTGACTATTTCCTGCAAAGGTATTATGATCTAAATGCCAGCAATTACGAATTCTTCAAAATATGATTTTAATAATTCTTTTTTTCTGAAAATGACATGTTCAAAATTGCTCCAGGATATTTTTTTTTAAATATTTATACAGATAACAGCAGTACCAGAGTACACACAGCTGATCGATGAAGACGATGAAGTTTTGACGGCCAGAGCCAGGTTTCAACCTCTTCTGTTAGAAACCATGACAAAAGATTTCAATGAATCGGTAAGTATTACATGATAACGTATTCAGTGCTGCTGACACTAAAAAAAAAAAAATGATGTTGGATTGGGCAATAAAGTCTTAAAATCAATAATTTTCAGCATTGCACAGATCACATTATGTAAAAAAGTTACTGTTTCTTCTGAAAGCTGTTGCACATCATAAAATTTATCTCAAACAGGCAGTTAAAATTTCATTTCATTGTGCATATATCATGGATGCTGAATTTTATGACTAAAAGGGATAATCCATTTGAAATGTAACAGCTTGATGCATGGTGCAGGGATTGATTTTGTCTAAATTGAAGTATGAAACTAAAACGAAATTAAAATTAGCTCATTTATACCATATGCATGTTAAATTTCAAAATGTTTACAAGACTGAGGTCAAGAAAAAGAAAATATTAAAATGTAAAATTCATAAAACAATAGAAATTAAGATTTTCTTTATGATTTTGACTTTTTTAGTTCCTGTCTGATAATATGGATTCCCTGATCGGGTTGAAGAAGTGGACAACTTTGACCCAAGAGTGGAATAATTTTGGTGCTCGACACTTTAAGGAAGCCTTTTTCCCAAGTGACCAAGCACTGCTTAGTCAAGTTGGAGAAGTTTACGACATCTATACTATGGATGAAGGGATCTTTGCCAAATTTGACATGCAGATGAAATCCAGCAATCGCTATAATCCCCCTAAGGTTGAGGACAGATTAGTCCTCATTCATAGACTCCTAGCAATGTTCCATCCTCGTCCGTTCCTCAGAACCAGGTTTGCTCCTCAAGGAGCCAAAGCCACTGTGAGGGCATTCAATGACAAATATGTGGACATTGTGTTTAGGTAAATGTCCTTTATATGCTTTAAGCGTGGGCTGAGATTTTACCTGGAATTTGTTTTTATTTAAAGTTTTATCCAAGTTATATAACCTACTTTCCCACTCTTCTTCGCCAGACATTTAAACTCTTTATTTTACATACCTAATTATAAATTATGTTGACATTTGTGTTTAATTAAATGTCCTTTATATGCTTTCAGTGTAGGTTGAGATTTTTCCTGGAATTTGTTTTTATTTAAAGTTTTATCCCAGTTATAAAACCAACTTTCCCACTCCTCTTTGCCAGACATTTAAACTCTTTATTTTACATACCTCATTATAAAATGAAACATATCTTTTTGTTATTTATTATAGAATCCATGCAGAGTATCAGCTGAATGAGGCTCCATATTACCCATTTTGGTTAACACCAGCTCAATTCAAGGGCAATCTAATAATATCTCAAGATGGCTCACACATCCAGCATTTTCACATGTATGTTCCCACAGACAAACGTCTCAATATTGGTAAGTAACTGATTATGTCAAGTCAGCAAAAGAGTAACACCTGTTTTAACAGTAAACAAACAAGTGCTTTTTCTTCTCTGATAAATTTTGACAGTAAAAAGTACATGTAAAGTATTTATAGATAGAATTCTTGTGCAATCATTTAATTCGTTTTAAAATGATCAATATTGTTGTGCAATCATTTATTTAGTGTAAAAACAATCAAGATTAAGATTTTTTAAAATACTAAATGAAATGAAAATTGTAGCTCAATTTTATAAAAAGGAATCAAGGCAGGGATTTCTCAGTTTGACTTCAAACATCTTACATAACATATTTCAGACATGGAGTGGTTGAATGGTCCAGAAACAGATGAGAACATGGAGGTGGATATTGGCTTCATGCCTCAGATGGAGATTAAAATTTCTAGTCCATCGAAGAAAGTCCCCAAGGAGGATCAAGGGAAAGAACTGCCCGAGGATAAAAACATGGCTAAGACTGTCCAAAATATGAAATGGACAAAGGAAATATCCATGTACGATGCTGAGAGGAATCTAGAAATAGCATTTTATCCTTTCAAGAAGGTAAAATTTATATTTTTGATAGTTTATATTAATTCCTTAAATTTGCTCTCCAAATGCATACATCAGGATCATTCAGGAGCATGTGTGAATAAAATAGTTGCATTGCACAAACCACAGATGCTCAGTTCCTGTTTATACATTGCAGATTGTGTACCACAACTTCACAGATGCATTTGAAATAGCCAAAAAAGAGAATCGTCTGGTTCACCACATCTTACTTTGGGGTGCGCTGGACGATCAGAGTTGCTGAGGTTCCGGGCGTACTCTGAGGGAAACAGCCCTCGAGAGTACGCCCATCCTGGCTCTCCTCAACGAGAGCTTTGTCAGCAGCTGGTCACTCGTCGCTGATTTGAAGGTAAATGTGACAATTATACTAATAGATGTGTCTCATTTTATAGACCATTAATAAAGAGATACATGTTCTTACCCAGTCCTATAGAATTCATTGTGTCATAATGTAATCAAAGTATTTTAAATTTTCATGTTTAACTTCATATTCTTCTTGTAGTCATTCCAAATCACTTATTATGTGAAATACATACTAAGTCATAGATGTCCTTAATTCCTGGCCAATGATGACATAATCCCTTGGTTATCCTGCTATTCCCCTCCAGCCTCTTGATATGGTAAAAACCCCAGACACACCTTTTATTTTAATGTCTCCTTCAATTTTAATTCTAAGGAACAACCCTGCGAAGTGCTTTACAGTTAAACAGTTTCTACATTTGCTGACAAACACATCATTTAAATAAAATATAATCAAACTTATCCATTTTAATGCAGAAAGTTTCACTATTTATGGTCTATTTTTTCCAGGAACTTGAGAAAGATCCTCATCAGCCTGAGTACAGCAAGGTAGCCGCCCACTTCCTGGAGAACTACAAGTTCCCAGTCATGATGATGGTGGCCTTGCCTAATGGCACCATTCTCCACAAGGTCAATGCCAATGAGTTCATGGATGAGGGGGCAGACGGTGAAACGGAGCCCTCCCTGTTCAGTACTCTGGCTGGGACTTTTGGGTAAGTGGAAGGGATATTCCACATGTTGAAAAATAAATACACATGTACTGAATAAAATAGGACAATCCTTGACGAGATTCTGTTAGTTTTACATATTAAAATTTATCAGAGTGAGATGAGGTTAACTTTGAAAATATATATATATATATATGGATTGCTGAACATCCCCCAAGCAAATAAAGAAGTTAAGAAAAAAAAACATGAATGCTAATAAGATAAAACTATGGTATCTATTTGAAAAATATGATTAAGATTTATGGTTTAAAACAGAACAACACATTACACTTACACAAAACTGTCAAGTCAAGTTGTAGGATTAAGAGATTGATGATTGTACTGTTGACTAGATGTCCTTGGAAAAAACACTCCTGTACTGAAATAGGAAATAAATGACACTTGTTCATGAAAGAGTCCTTTATTTCCTGTATCCTTGAAGATTTCTGTCTGAAAAGCATTTATAAAACTGATACTTGATCCTCAAAACTAATGGTTTCAAATGTAACAGATTTGGCCAGACTAAGACACAAACCTTGAACCATTCCTTAAATATACAGATGTTTTACCACTTAGCTATTTGGCCAATACACCCAGATCCTATTACACTTTTTTAAAATATTTAAATATTTTACATTCCAGCTAATTTTTCTTCAATTTTTAGCAATTTGACTGTTGCTTGGGATTGAAATGATGCTGATATAAATGTTATGTTATTTTATAAAGTTTTTTTTTTTTCAAGTGATGCAAACATGGAAAATGTTTTATTGCCTTTTATTATATATTGATCTTATGCAAATTATTCAAATTCATTCCAAATACTGATTGGTCAAAAAAGAAAAAAAAACATTAAACAACAATATTGTTGCCATCTTTGAGAAGAATCATGCCCTCCAGTGTGACTTTATATAGCAAGAGAAAATCTAACTTCACAATGATTGGTATAACAAAAAATATGGTCTTGGTATGTATACAGTTCTGATTTAGCAAATAGAAAAATAAAACATTTATTGCATACAGTTGTGGGTAGCATTGAAAATTTTCACTCAAGAAAACCATTGTGTTAACCTCAGCAACTCGTGGCATTGTTTCACAGTGATTTTCTTGGGATGAACATTTTACATGTTACATCAACTACATACAGTATTTACATATATACAATGTATATCTGAAAGGAGCTGAAGAAATGGGAAAGAGAAGCATTAATGGTTTTGTTTTAGATTTCAGGAATTTGGAACAGATTCACCACTTAAATGATTTTTAAAAAATATTAACAATTTATTGAAGAAAGTGTAAAGTGTAGACATGATATAATTTGCTTTGCATGTTTTACTAATTTTTACAAATTCATTTAAGCAGACAATTCATTTATTGAGCATTTAAAGCAATACTTATGATTACATCTCTAAACAGAAAATAATAAAAAACTCCTTAAGATTTTAGCTAACTGTCCAAAATTTTATCATATTCTCAAGTTTTTCCATAGATATCAGGATTTAGCAGCCATTGGAATTATGTAGAACAAATTGTACAAGCATTTTATCTTTGGTTGGGTATTTAGAATTATATGCATGTTTCGGATATGAATTTGTCTGCATGGGCCATGGGTTTCCCTTATAATGATCCCAACGTTTTGCATGCATGAATCATATTGTTTGATTATTTCTGTAATTTAGTATATCGGTTTAAATCTTCTAAGCAGAGGCTACTAACACAAGTTACCAACACAATAAAGTAGTTTTTAGCATGATGTTAAATATATTATGAATAAGTCAGAGTATTATTCCTCAGGAAGTGAAAAACATGACAATGGAGATGACTTGCCTGGAGTTGAAACATTGAACATTTGGAAGGGAAGAGGGGAAGGGGGTTTCATTTGTGAAACAAAAAAAATTAAACACACTTCCAACAGGTTGATTATAAACTAGTAATCAAGAATAGATAGGGATTTGCATTACTGGTATTTATGTGCTTAAGAATGTAAAATTATATTACCCATTTACGTATTTGGGAACTTCTATCATAAGGTAAACTTTTTACAGGGAATTCATCGAAAAAGTCAATCCTAAACCCAAGAGAATTACAGCTTCTAGTAGGCTAGGAGGACCTCAGGGGGACTCGATGTGCCCCCGATTAAAACAAGATATGGAAAAATTCAAAGCAGATGGGTATGTATGGCAGCGATGAATATAGTTTAGTCTTTTTCAACACTTGGAAGTGTTTGAAAAGTTTTACTGGTACTTATCTAATGCTCACAGGTCTTGTTTTTGCTTACCACATTGTCTCACTGTTGTGAACTTAACATCATTAACATTTTTGGCCATCAATGCACTTCAGTGTCAGTGACATAGCCCCTGTCAGAACAAAATGCATGGACATGCTCATTATCCTTTTATGAATCAATTTTGGAACAGATGGGTTGTTATATGTGAAAAGAAAGGGGGGGGGGGGTACCAAATATGATATTTGAATATAGTTAACAGCAAACTTTGATTTCATTATTCACAGTCTAGAAACATGCCAATGCTTCCTTTTATCTCCCTTTTAGCACAATCTCTATTTTTAAAACTAAGAGATGATTATCTGCAGTGTAATTAACCATAAACCTAAAATATTCAGTTGATAAAAAAGTATACTTATTAACTGAATCAATTTTGATAAACAGCTTAACATTTTCAGATAAATGATCTATCAATTTGTTATCTTTTGTGTTAATAATCTCTGTGTTCTCTAAGGTCTGAGTATATACTGCTTATTTTAATATTGTGCATGCCTCTAACATTCCGTCACTTGTGGCTTTGGTAAAACTGTCTTCAGACCCTTTGAAAATGTTGGTGTGTTGTTTATTAATAGTTATCTCCTTTTTTGGCCTGTTTTTAACATATTTTGATAATATAATGTTTTGCCTGTTTTTCTAACATACTTTTATAAGAAAATGTTTTTACCTGTTTCTAACATACATACTTTGATAAGAAAACATGAAGCAATAGGAAACGTTATTTGGGCTTTCTTAATATAATAAACTTAATTGAAAGAAGAAAGGGCAAAATCAAAACTTTTTTAGTGCATGAATATTCAATATGTTTGCTTAAAAGGACTAATTCTGAATTCTGATTTTTTTTTTCTTGGCAGATTTAATGGTCCACAAGAGTACCACTACATGAAATTCCTGCAGCATGCAATACAGAAATCAGCTCCTTTCATGCCCGATGCATTTTTTAGAACTGTGTAAAAATAATACTCACCACCCATTATCAACATTGTCCATTTTTGTTGCAGATTTGAAGATTCCCATGCCTATTACTACAATGTTTTTCTGAAGGAGGGAATTAAAAGGTCAAAAGAATATCAACCATTTTCCACATAAACTGCAAATTCAACTTCTATTTACAACTCACTGGAGCTTGTATAAAATTTAAATGTATTAATACTGTAAGTTTTAGCGTTTTAGATTCTAAATAATTCTAATCAAACTTTAATCTTACAGAGAAATCCAGCAAATTCAATTGCCAAAAGCTTTTTGTTGTCTCTTTTTATGTACATTTTAAGAATTCATATGTATGTGAAGCCCTCATAATTTATTATTGTATAAGATTTCTACAATCAGGGTATTGAACACACAATGCTGGACATGTGATATTATAGTAAATTATATTTCCATCAGCTATGACAGATCTCATTTATCACTGTTAATGCTAGGAGGGAATTTTATCAATTTATGAATTTTTATTAGATGTATTAATTTACTTTTATGCTTTTTTCCTATGTGCATAATTTTGTTCTTTATTTTTATCTACTTCATATTATGTGAATTTTATGATTAATATTATGATTTTACATCCATAAAGTAGATATTTTCAAATTGGTATAATATTACAGTAAAGCATTTTGCCATGTCCTTAAACAGTTTGTTGATCATGTCTTACATTTAGAAAATTTAACAATTTACAGCTACCTTAAAAATATTTGTCAAAACTTTAGAACGTTCACAAAGCCAACAATTCAATCTATATCATGTAATAATTTACCACGATAGTTTTTAATGTAATTCAAGAAGAATGTTCCTCGTACATGCATATTATTATTATGGACTATAAGTTTTCTGTTTTATTGATAATTTGTGCTGATGTTATCTGTAATGAAAGCTTTGTCTAAAAGTTTTTTGAACTTGACTTGGCTGGAGGAATGATAGTGGGCAGACAACTCATCATGGACAGAAAAATTATAGGCAATAACTATATATGACATGTACCTGTTAACAATTCTTCATAATTATCTATTAAGTATCTTGCTAGAAGATGTGCTGTGTGATTTGTAACCAGAATGAGCCTGTGATTTTACTTTCTTAAATTACTGCTTTATTTCTTGTAATAAAACTTTGAAAAGTATTTATATATTTTTATTTATCATTCATTTATCCTGTATGATACACATCTACATTAATTTTATATTTGCACAAATCTGGGAGGAGGACAGTATGTTGCAAGACTCACACAAATCAACTGATTCTTTCTATGAATACAAAAGAATCGTGAAGCACTGTGCAGCAAGATATTTGAAGTTAAAAATTTTGATTTGGACTGAAGAACTCAAAATTAATGAAAATAGGAATGAAAATTCAAGGAATTTATGTCCCCCACAAAATAAGTTGGTTGAAGACCTAAAATAAACATTTGAGAAAGGAACGAGTAACCTTTCACCTTTAGACCTCCCAATCGGTAGGGTTGATTTTATGCAATCTATGAATATCTAACCTTGACCTTTTGATTTCAATTAAAAGGTGTCTTCTTTTAGGCAATGGGAGTTGGATATCATGACACAAATTAACTAAAATATTTACTGTATTAAAATTATGAGCTGGAAAGCTTTTAATTCTATGCTTTTTACCTTGACCTTTTGACTTTAAGGTCAACAGGGGGTCATTTGTAAGTCATAAGAAGTAAAATCTCAAAGACAACAAACTTGCCAATGATTTAACATTGAGAATTCCATTTAAAGCAAAATTATTTATTTTATTTTGTTGTATTTATTTTTCATTTTATAGTCCACATTTCTTGTGTAGGTAAAATTTAAACTTTAAATGCACTGAATTATGGCGAGTTCACATTTGTATGAGTTAAAAATTATTCTAACGAATTTTTGTGTTTAATTTGTACCAACAGTATTTAAATTTCATTCAAAACTCCATTTATTTCATCAGGCAGTTGCAATACACATATCCGTAAAATTTACCCAGATTGGTTTTCATTTTAGAATTTTTTATTTATTATTATCCGGGGACTTGTAGTTAGATGATGCAATATGGCCGCCAAAATTAGCAACAGCTGACATAATGTTATCCAATTTTAGAACGCATTACTCAAATAGGAAGTGTAAGATGTATCTAATACCAAAACTACGGCATCATATACGATAAAGAACGATAGAATGGATGAAGTGATTGCTTATGACAATGGAGACCCCGCAATCGAACTGCCTGCGGCACTTCCCCCAGAGGTAAGGTGTCAAAATTTACATTTTTATGATTAATCTTTTTTCATTTAATTGCAAAGCACCCATTTACTTTTTTTGTATATACCTACAGTGTATATATTGTAGGTATGTTGGTGTTTGATTTTTACCATTTGATTGTAATCGACGAATATGTGACGTGACCTTGTCCCAGTAATTACTGAAAGTGGGTTAACCTTTAAGATCTATAGTGCCCTACAGCTTTATAATTCATTAATTTCGGTGTCATGCCAAACTACTCTTTTGAAGAAAAAAAAATGCGTAGAATTGAGTTGTTTTTATAAAACGTGGCAGGAGATCCGGAATCTTATATGAATAATAAGAATTATATGTATATAGTCTTTCTAACCAGGATGGAAAATCTGTATTGTCTCTCTAGACTACATAGCTTGCATTAAAAAAATTTACTGCATAATGTTTATGTAAAGTTAGCTAATTTAAATAGTAAATCCAGATAATTTAGCATTTTTCTTCATAAGAATTAAGTACCCATCATGTCCCATGTAAGAAAATCATAAATTTAATGTTTTTGAGCAAATTTAATACTTGATTGCAAATGAACTTGTTCGGACAAGTGTCTCAATCCATCCCTTTAGGCCCATCCAAAATTTGGAGAATCCTCCAAATTTTTATCATCAACATGATCAATCTTTGAACTTGTTTCTTGTGTCTTTTCAGTATTAATTTTCACGAATACAAATATTCCCAGACAACAATCCATTGACTTTTACTGATTACAAGTAGCCTTTCACAAAATATTCCCTTCTAAAAAGAATCCTTTGCTAGCTGCAGATCTGTAGCTCTCCGAAAAAATATATATTGATAGACCGGAGAGCTACAGAGCCACCCATTGAAAAAGCTGTATATTTATTGCGCACAAAAAAGTGCGCTCGATTCTTGATTAATTTTTCCAAATCCTTACCTCAGTTGCAAAAAATGGAAGATTTCAAAAAATTCCTCTCTCCTCTATCAAGTTCTCTCGTTGTTGACATCTGAACGAAGCATATTGGACCGAATTATCTTAAAACCAAATTGGCAGTATAAATAAGCAAAATGTTCGATGATTGCAATATCAGGGCCAGGAGGACTATTAACAAGTCAACAATTATGAGGAATATTTTGTTGTGGAAAGAGTCAAAGAATATGTTAGGAACACATGGTTAGTAATATTTTGATATTACAGTTTTAAAATTATGGAGAAATAAATCGAGAACCGAGCGCATTTTTTTTGCGCCTTTGGCCTTCATAGGATTTTATTATGTGACCGACCCACTTCAATTCCCATTGAAATTTTTAAACTTTTTATTTATTTCTTAATTGTGGTTTTTAGCGGGGCTTATTGCTTAAAGAGCAATTGCTGATCAAAGTCAGCTTGTTCAAGCAGGATGTTGACCCCAAAGCTGCCAAATTAAATTACCTGTAAAAATGAAGTACATGTACATGTACTTACTCTCAACCACTTTTGCGAACATAATTTGATGATCAATGATGTAGCCTAGTTCTCTACACAGACAAAGAAAAGCAGAATTTATTTTTATATGATATTGTAAAATATATTTTTTTCATAAGAATTTTTAAAAAATTGATTTCAAATGAGATGCCCATGAAGTCCTTATTTTTTAAGTATCATAAATATTAATTTTTTTTAAAATTGTTTGTGTATAATTCTGCCAGTATCTTAACTTTCTGTTATTACAATGTACATGTATCATGTTTCATATTAAAAAAAACTCTACTCTGTAAATGAGCCGAGCTCTCAATACTGAGTGATACTGATACTTTTTTATTCCTGATAAGGATCATCAATTAGAAAATAAAATCACTAAATTCTGTAAATATTTTGAAAATTTCTGTCTATCTTTTCCAGATTGAAGAAGGAAACATCGAGTATAAGGTTTGTTTCTTACCTATATTTGATGAATTTTTTTTAAAATATTGATTCACATGCAAATATGATTCTTGAATATGCAAACAAGAACATATTGTTTTTTTTGGTGAATGTTACTTAGACTTATAAAGCATAATTTCTTCATATTATTGGTAACATGATGAAGTGTTATTGATATTTTTAAAAAAAATATGCATGAATGAAAAAATGCTCAATTTTCCTTTAAACTAGACCTCATTTTTCAATGCATAATTAATCATAAACCTTTTCATATTGTGTTAATAGTTGAAGCTAGTGAACCCCTCAGAGTCTCGCGTGGAGCACCTTGTCACTCAGATGAAATGGCGGTTGGAGGAGGGAGAAGGGGAGGCCATTTACGAGATAGGGGTAGAGGACAACGGTCTGTTGGTGGGGCTTACTGAGGAGGAACTTACAGCATCATTGAATACACTCAACAGGATGGCCAGCAGGTCAGGAGAATGAATAAAACACTGTTCTATTTGTACATCATGTTTGCTTTCTTGCTTCCTTCACAGATGAACAAATGTGCTGGGCTTCATTGGCCCTTTTTGCTACAGAGTCCTGTACCCCTTCAGCTGGGAATTTCAAAATAAAAAAAAAGTTAAAAAATTAATACATTGACGGCACTGTAATTTTTCACTGTAGAATAGACAGAGTATCATAATTTTAGGCTTATCTTCTATCCACATTTTTATATTCTATGATCTCTCATACTTCAAGGTTTTGATTAAAATGAACTGAAAAAATTCTATCACTTTAATTCTAGGGAAAAAAAGGTAGTCAGTAATTTAATGGGACAGAGTTAACAATCCTCAAAATGAGCCTTCCTGTAGCTAAAATTATTCCTCACTAATGCATGTATCTCATAGATGAACCTTGCACAGTTTGCATCATCTTCAGAACTAAGAAAAAGAAATAAATGAATTAAGTCATAATTTCTATAGAAATTGATACTATGGGTTTGAATTGAAGCATTTTTGAAGATCTTATGTACATGTATAATGTTTTGCAGACTAGGAGCAACAACAAGCATACTAAGGGAGCGAATTGTAGAGACAGAGGGGGCAGAGTGCCAAAGGAAAGCTTTAGAAATCCTTGTTAGAAAGGTCCCTGAAAATCAGGAGGTAAGTGAAATGATAATAATATGTTCTGGAATTTATGGAATTACTCTTTCTGAGAGTTGAACTTTCAAATGTCGGCATTAACATTTGAAACTCAATAAAGGCATTTTTCCAAAGAAGGCCCTTGGCATTTAGAAAATTAATAAGAAAAAAAGTGGAATTTGATAAGTCGTTCTTAGTTATCTTCAGTGGTAAACTGTTGTTAAGTTAAATTATATGGTTTGGCATATTAAGGATGGAGCATTCTTACTATTTTTTCTCAATTTGGCTTTTTTGTGGTCTCAAGGAATCTGAGTGGGTGAATTTCTGATTTTAAATATTGTTCATTTTCAGTTCATTGATTTGAAGTTGGCAGTACTAGGGAATGTGGATGCTGGAAAATCCACTTTGCTTGGTGTCCTCACCCAGGGGGAACTAGACAATGGGAGGGGGCGTGCCAGACTGAATTTGTTCCGTCACCTGCATGAAATCCAAACTGGGAGAACTTCCTGTATAAGTCACGAAATCCTGGGGTTCAACAGTCAAGGAGAGGTAGGATGGTGCACAGAAATCGATTCAATTTTCATTTCAACATCTGATTATAAATTGGTCTTTGCTTACATTTATTTTTCTGAATAGAAAAATTTATGAAATATTGACTGAAGAATTGATAATCATATTAAATCCTGAAATACCTACATCTTACATGTAACCCTTAAAACAGTTGTTTTGCTTTGCTAGATTGTGAACTACAGTGACTCTAAAACAGTGGAGGAGATATGCGAACATTCCACCAAACTAATAACCCTCATAGATTTAGCTGGTCATCACAAGTACCTGAAGACTACTATATTTGGTCTGACTGGTTACTGTCCAGACTTTGCCATGCTAGTTGTTTCTGCCAACACAGGAATGGGTAAGTTTCAAAATAATTTATGAAATTAGAAATTTGAAAGGAAATATATAGTAGATATGTGTATATATGTAGATAGGCTCATGTATTATGGATTGCATACTCTGATATCATGTTTGTAATTCAGAAATTCCTTTGTAATAAACTGAATCACATGTAAATGCATTTACCAGTAAGGGGAAATTATTTGTATTACTGGTACATATGGTGTAACAATAAAAATATCTATTTTATAAAAATATAATGATAAAAAATCCCCTTTTCAGCTGGGACTACCAGGGAGCATCTTGGTTTTGCCCTGGCCCTGGGAGTTCCTGTGTTTGTAGTGATCACTAAGATAGACATGTGCAGAAGATTCATGATCGAGAGAACTGTCTCACAACTGGAGAAAATACTCAAATCACCAGGTTGTAATCGGGTCCCTTTACGAATTAAATCTGAAGACGATGCCATGACTGCTGCAGCTAACTTTAATTCTGAAAGGTGAGCTGGTTTTGCAGTACTGTTTGCTTATGAAAAGCTAATTTTTTATGCTTAGAAAGTACACTGTTGTACTTGTGATGCACAAATTAAATAATAAATGGGAGATAACTTCTTGGATTCTAGTCATTTTTTCAATGAAATAAAATATTGTATGTTTTCTTTTTTTCAGAATTACCCCTATATTTACCATTTCCAGTGTAACTGGGAAGAATACCGATCTCTTAACCAAGTTTCTGAATGTTTTGCCATCAATGAAAAATGTAACAGAGAGGGAGAAACTATCACAAGATAACACTGAGTTCCAGGTAAGTGATACAGAATTAGAAGCAATTATCAAATTTCATTCATTTTTTATGGCTTTCTCTCTGGCATGTTTACTTTTAATTCATTAATACAATTTTTATATGAACTTTTTAGATTGACACACAGTTCACTGTGCCTGGTGTGGACAGTGTTCTAGGGGGCCACATTAGTCGAGGGTCCATAAAGGAGGGGGACAATCTCCACCTAGGTCCCCTGGAGGATGGTAGCTTTAAGGAGGTCAAGGTCAAAACTGTTCACAGGAATCGGGTGCCATGTCGTCTCATTCAGGCCGGGCAGGCAGCTACAGTAGCTCTGACAGAGAAACACAGAAATATTCTCAGGCGGGTGAGTAAAATCTCAGCTGATTATTTATTTTGCATTTAGAGATGCATGTTGATGTATGCTTGGACACTAAATAAACACATTTTTCTATTAGCTGCTTTTCTTTTTATTAAACCTCCAGTAATTTTTTGTTTACAACAAAAACTATTAAAGGAAATCTTTGGGGATATCTGAATTACGGGTAGTTTCATATCAAGTCAGTATTTTTAATAGTTTTGTGATGATTGCCTTTCTACAGGGAATGGTGCTAGTGAGCCCCGAGTCCACCTTTAACAACTTTGTGTGTAGAACATTTGAGGCCAGTATTTACCTGCTTTACCACACCCATCAAATCAGTCGAGGATTTGAAACCACTGTTCATGTAGGAAATGTTTGTCAGATCTGCAAAGTGGAGATAATCAAAGATAAGGTATGTATTTCCTTACAGTCAATTCACAGGCTCTTGTTTCTATAATATATTTTTTATCCCATAGTACTGTATAATAATTACACATACACCATGTACTAATAATTACACATACACCATGTACTAATAATTACACATACACCATGTACTAACTCCAAACTACATTGAGTTGCCACTATCTCCGAAAAAAAAAACCAAAAAAAAACCCTGCAATTCATGTGAGGATACATTATTTTATTTGGAGTAAAATACCTTGTATTATTATATGAAGGGGTAAAAAGTTTGTTACAAAAAGAAGTATCTGTGAGTCAATAACTATATTTTCATGCCTTTGCAATTAAATCTTGCTTTTATGCTTCCTGTAATATCCTTAACTTTAATTTTGACCATAACTGTTGTCCTTTTTTGCTCTTCAGTGTTAAGCAATTAACTGAAGTTACGTCATGCATTATTTTCTATTGAAGGAATCTGTTAAAACCAATGAAAAGGCACATGTCATATTCCGATTCATGAAGCAGCCTGAGTTTTTACGACCTGGATCCAGACTTCTCTTCAGACAAGGCACAACCAAGGGTATGGGGGAGGTCATGAAGGTCCATGCGCTCAAGGAAGAAATCCAGACTGTGGGTCATTTGGATACAGGCCAGAATGAGATTTCTGGTGCCTATGTCCAGGATACCGAGATGGAAGTAGTTCCTCAAACCAGACCTGTGGACAACATTGGTCGCGTGGACAGTCCACACAGATGAATTTCCTGGACTTCATTGATTGAAACCTTAAACTTGAAAATGTGTTTTCTCTAGATTCATTATTTTCTGAATCAATTTTTTGTGGAATTAGATGTAAGATATATTGTTTTCAATGTGCAACTGTTAAGTTATTTTATTATTTTCATTTTTAGAACACTCCAAATTTAGGGATGAATATGCAATGTTTTTGAATTTTTATGTTTTCATTATGTATTTTTTTTTTTTTTTACATTTGTCATTACTGCTGATTTAGTAGTGCCCACCTAAATACCAAAACATTAATGTTGTCATGTTGTTATGGTGATTGTGGATTGTACCTTTATGTAATCTGCGTGTTCAATTCTTTAAGAAAACATTAAATATTTCATGTGCAATTTGTACCAAACATTTTTAATCATGTCACTAAAATTTTTATATAATCAAATACCTGTGAACATTTTCATTTCTTTTATACAACATTTTTATCAATATTTTCCTTCCTTTACTTGAACAAATTTAATTTTAAAAAATGGCATATGATTTCTTGTCAGAAAAATGGTGCTAAAAGGCACTCTTCAATGATATGTTTTTTTTTTATGAAATGTTACTAAAACACAGCAAAATCAGCATTATGATTGCTCATTAAATTGTGTATTGCATGTTTGTGTCACATACTAGCATGTAGGTTGTTAAGATAGAGTTATTGGTGTAATTGTTTTATTTTATTATCTTCCATTTTCAGATGTCAGTCAGACATCTAGTTTAGTTAGTTAGTTTTTTTGGTTTGTTTGTTTTTTTTCCATGCACTTAAACAAAAATACTGTTGCAGATACTGCATTGTTATGTTTGCTTGTTGCAGGTAAAATATCAAATAAAAATTTGGTATAAAAGGAATCTGATGTACTTTATTACTTTAATAAACAAAACTTTCAGTGGATACATTGAAACCTCTTTCATTGGGTGCATATCATTACCGCTACATTTTCGAAATTTTCATTACCACTACATAGCCATTACTGCTACGAAAAAGGTTACATTACCGCTACATGTAAAAGTATACATTACCGCTATATTTCCTCTTTGGTTAGCCAGCCATTTATGTGTGTATGGATTGATTTTTAAAAGTATAATATATACAAGCATAAGTCCTGTTTCCCTTGCTAGCTACGGGAAGGTGAAAGTAGGAGGTTGAGCAGGACGTGTTCATTTATTTGTTTATTTAAAATCTATATTATTTCATAAAACAAAAAAAAAAATTAAAATTTTGAAATTGAATGTCTTTCAGATCTGAAAGTTTGGTATAAATCGAACGAGCCATCTCTGAGAAATCGCTCATATAATGCAGTGGTAATGATCAGTTGAAAATTTGAAAAAAAATGTAGCGGTAATGAGTTGAAATCTTTGGTGATGTAGCAGTAATGTTGACCTCCCCTTTCATTTGGGTGCAATTGAGGTATCATGTAAATGTAACACAGGTTACAGATTCAACTATTGATTACCGTAACAAAAGTAACTCTGAGTTCATAATGTAGATATACAAGTTTTCATGTACCGGTATATGATGTTTTGACTTTTTAACTATGGACATAATGGCTTCCAGGGTATTAAATTTATCTGGATTCCACAATAATTCCCAGATTTATAATTCCCAGATTTAAAATGATTAAATATGTAAAAAAAAAATTAAATTTGAACCTTGTTAAATGACCTACACACTTTCTTATATGGGTCTGTAGACTTCACAATTTGTCTAATGAAGATACATGTACTAAAATTTGGTACAACCGAGCTTGCAAAGGAAGTTATATTGGTACATTTTATCTTGCAAGGAAGTTCTGTGAATCATAAAGAAGGATAGACACAAACACATATTTATTTTATTAAGAAGTTTTTATCTGTAATAAATATTACATTAAACAGAACACAATCACCATCTTTCAGGGCAAAAGACAACAGTGAAATCTCATCTCACAAATTCATTTAAAACATGACACTGAAGTTAACGAGTTCATGATAATCATTATCTACAGTTTGTACACTTTGAACAGTTCTAAGGGAAATAACTCTGGAGCAGAACTGTAAGTGAAAGCACCTGGTAATTCTGGATGGAATTGAGATTAATGCCAATTTTGTCAGTTTGTGGTTAATGCCTTTTGGACGGTTTGTGTAGCAGTAACAGTTTCTGGCACTAGTAGGAATGCACTATAAATGTTTAATTTGGTGTCCAACATTGGCAGCAGGTTGGTCATCTCTGGTCTAACTGAGCTGAAATAGCAAATAAGGAGTAAAAAAATATGCTAGTCTACATTCTTATCTTATCCTTTGGATATAAATTACGAATTTTCTTTCAACAACACAAAATGAAGAAGCTTAAATATACAAATATATAGTGCTTAATTTTTAAACAAAAATAAAGACCTCATAAAAGACCATATGGTTTTATAAAAAAAAAAAAAAATTGCAATCCATGTTGTTTATTATTTTATCATTTTAACCAGAAGTCTCTGTTGAGACTGTAGCTCTACTGGTTTATACTTAAAACAAAGGAAGAGAAAAGTAGCAGTTGGGACTTGAGATTTTAAATCAGCAATAAATAGAAAAATGATCCTTGCCACTCATCAAAATAAAAACCAATGCATAGAATAGAATTATGTATCTTAGTATAGTCTACTTGTGTGCCAAGTTATATTGAAATCAGACCAAAACTGTATGGGGGTGAGGTATTTTGAAAATATTTCACAGGAAGTTCTAAGTTTAGTAACCATGGCAACACTGTTCATTGAAATCAAAAACCGATGCACAGAATTATGTACCTTAGTGTAGTCTACTTGTGTGCCAAGTTATATTGAAATCGAACCAAAACTGTAGGAGGAGTAGCATTTTGAAACAATTTCACACAAATTTCTATTTTTAGTAACCTTGGCAACACCGTTCATCTAAATCAAAAACCGATGCACAAAATAATGTATCTTAGTGTAGTCTACTTGTGTGCCAAGTTATATTGAAATCGAACCAAAACTGTAGGAGGAGTAGCATTTTGAAACAATTTCACAGAAATTTCTCTAGATGTATATATGGACCAAACAATGATAACCCTGATTTTTATGAAAGATTACATGAGTACATTAATGATTTTAATTGTGAAAATGTTATATTATGTGGTGACTTTAACCTTGTTTTAAAGCCTGAATTAGACTACTATAATTATAAACATATAAATAACCCTAATGCAAGCAGAGGGTTATAGAGCTTATGGAAGATAACAACTTAGTTGATATTTATAGACAAAATAATCCAGATGCTTTGAGATATACTTGGAGAAAAAAAAGTCCCATTAAGCAAAGTAGATTAGAATTTTTTCTTGTATCGGAGAATTTACTGTCAAGTGTTACAACAAGTTCTATAGAACCTAGCTATAGGTCCGACCACTCGATTATTACTTTATGTTTAAAGTTCAATGATTTTAAGAAAGGCAAAGGATTATGGAAATTTAATAATTCTCTTTTATATGATGAAGAATTTTTAAACTCAATTAAGGGGGTGATACAAAGGGTTAAAGAGCAGTATGCAGTTCCAGTATACAATATAGATAACTTGCAATCTATTGAAGATGAAAATATTGTATTTTTAGTCAATGACCAGTTATTTTTAGAAACACTTCTTATGGAAATTAGAGGGAAATGTATTTCGTATTCGTCTTTTAAAAAAAAATCCAGAATTTTTAAAGAAGAAAAACTTATAAAAGAAATAAGTTCCCTGGAGGAATTGGCACAGGGATCTACAAGCAATAATGAAACTCTTGAAGAAAAAAAAAAGAGTTGGAAGATATTAGAAAAGAAAAAATGGCTGGTGTATATATAAGGTCAAGGGCAAGATGGATAGAAGAAGGGGAGAAACCGACAAAATATTTCTGTAATCTCGAGTCAAGAAATTTCATAAGTAAAATTATTCCAAAAATTAAATTAGAAAATGGAGAGACAGTTTATAATCAGTCAGATATCTTAAAAACAACCAAACAATATTATGAAAATTTATATAGAAATGTAGATGATGTTATTGAAAATGTTAACCTTCAGGAGGAAATGAATTTTTCAGATATTAAAAAGCTTTCCAATGAAGAGTCAAGGTCATTAGAAGGTCAAATTACAATGAAGGAGGCAGGAGAAACACTTTTTAGGATGAAATCAAATAAATCACCTGGCTCAGATGGCTTTACCTCAGAATTTTTTAAGGTCTTTTGGAAATTTATAGGCGTTTTTGTTGTCCGATCAATTAATTATGCATATGATCATGATATTTTAAGTGTAACTCAGAGACATGGAATCATTACCTGCTTACCGAAGGGTGACAAACCTAAACACTTGTTAAAAAATTGGAGACCTATCTCTCTTTTAAACACAGTTTATAAAATTGCATCTGGTTCAATTGCGAATAGAATTAGAAGGTTTCTAGATAAAATTATACATCCTGATCAAACAGGCTTTATACAGGGCAGGCATATAGCTGAAAACATTAGACTAATCTATGACATTATGCAATACACAGAAGAAGAAAAAATACCAGGTCTTCTTCTTCTTGTTGACTTTGAAAAAGCATTTGATTCTGTCTCTTGGGCTTTTATTCAAAAATCACTTAAATTCTTTAATTTTGGAAAGTCTATGAGGAAATGGGTTAGTTTATTTTATTCAAACATTACATCAGCAGTAAATCAGGGAGGAAATTTATCAGAAACATTTTCTTTGCATCGAGGATGCCGCCAGGGAGACCCACTATCCCCATACTTATTCTTAATATGTGCTGAAATCCTTGCTATTAAGATAAGAAATAACAAAGACATCAAAGGTATATATTTCATTGATGGGGAAAAGAAAATCTCGATGCTCGCTGATGACACTTCTCTTATATTAGATGGCAGTGAGAAATCTTTACAATCAAGTTTAGGTACCCTTAGAGATTTTGCAAAAATGTCCGGCTTACATATAAATTATGATAAAACACAAGTAATATGGATAGGTAGCAAAAAAGGTAGTGATGAGGTTTTATGTAAAAATCAATCTCTTGAGTGGGGAAAGAAAAACTTTAGGTTACTTGGTATTGAATTTGATATAGATTTGCAGAAGATACTTTCGAGGAATCTCAGTTCAAAGTTAGAAAACATAAAGAAAATGATAAGACATTGGAAACGTAGGAATCTCACACCACTAGGACGATTAACAGTTTTGAAAACACTTTTATTGCCAACATTGAATCATACTTTTGCCTCCCTTCCAAATCCCACTGATTTATATATAAAAGATTTAGAAAACACCTTTTATTCTTTTGTAATGGGAAGTAATACCTTTAGACTAAAAAAAGGTGTTTGTATTAAGGATCTTAAAGATGGCGGTTTCAAGATGATTAGTATTAAAGAGTTTATTATGTCTCTGAAACTTGTATGGATGAGAATGTCATACTGCAAGGTAAATATTCATATTTAACTTTAGATTTAAAAAAAACAGTTTTTTGTGGAGAAGAATACATTCTCAAGAAAATAAAAGATGTAAAAAATATGTTTTGGAAAAATGTTTTAGAAGCCTGGCTATTTTTTTCTAAAAAATTACCAGAACCAGAAGCAAGTGCCTCTATGGAACCACTATTTTTTAATAAAAATATACTGATTGGCAAGAAAACAATTTTTTATAAGAAATGGTTTGAAAATAATGTATTTTTCATAAATGATCTCTTAAGAGAGGACGGTTCCTTTATGGACATTAATATGTTTAAATTGAAATATGGAATCCATACAAACTTTCTTGAGTACAATGGACTTATAGCTGCTATCAGAGAATGGATGAAAACCAAAAATATAATTTCTATGCCAACTCTGTATATGCCTTATATTACACAAAAAATAT